ATATTTAAATCAGTATTTGAATATGCTTATGTTTCTCACATTTGATTAAAATACGAAATATTATAACTTTGAATTTAACGCTATTTATTCGTACTTTGGGGCATTTAGCAAAATGTCGGTTTCAGTAAACATTAAGCTGTGTGTCATTTTGTCTGATTTCAACTCGGCTTTTTTCCATTAGATAGAAAAGGGAAAACAAAAATATACGTGTTTTTTTGTTTCTTGAAATTGTTGGATTTTGTATATATTTTTTAACAAAAAACGATGTGTTTTATTTTTACATTAAAGTTGTTTCTCGGGTCAAAAAATGTCTGTAAGTGAATATTTTAAAAACAAATTATTCATTTTATTAAAGCTTAATGCGACTCCACATTTATCGCATTATTAGTTGTAAGTACTTTATATATTTAAAAAAATTTAATACAGAAATCGTCTAATTTGCTTGCATCCCACGAATCACAAATTTGGCGCCAAAAGTGATCATAATTTCAATTCACTAGCTTATTTCAGTGTAACCAAATCAAATCCACTTAAAATACCATGTGTAGAACTATATAAAGTAAAAACTTTGCAAATTTCGCGCATACCTTGTAAAATAAAGCGGTATGTTGCAGATTAGGGTTAAATTAAGGGTTAAATAACCCTACATTTTGGAAGCCTATTCATATCCGTTTGAGTGATGCTCAACTTCACATCAGACCGTAAAAGAGTGCTTTCACTCCATCGGAATTATGTAGTTCTCTACCGAGTTCCCATAATATGTATATAAAAAGATAAAACAACAATCTTTGGAGCTTGCACTGAAAATCAAACTCTCAACAAAACACCACAAATATACTAAATGCACATCTTAATTTCCCGCTAAGTACTATTTAATTTGCTTATATGTGCTACATACTTATTGGAAATGGATCAAGTTTACGTTTTCTGAACATATTTACAATATTTACAATTTTAGGAATGCATTTTGTTGAATTAATCTTAAACATTTATTTAGGTATGAGGTAGTCGGTCACAAGTATTTGTTTTTTCATTAGGAATATAAAATATATGAACTGTATATGAAGAAATTAAATGAAGCGATTCAAAAAAATAATAATACTCATGGCTTTAAATGGGATTAAATTTTTCCCCCGCTTTTGTTACATATTAGAAACTTTCCGTGCACTCATAAACTGTAAAAGCAGACTTTATATATAATTAAGCTGATAAGGCTTTATAACCTGTACTATTTATTATTAACTAATTATAGATACACACCAATTTATGAGCCCATTTTTTGTGATTAAACGAAATGAAAAATGAGATGAAAAAAAAGTAATAGCAGCTAAATTTTTGTATTCACTATTTAGCAACTCTTTGTTTAATATTTCTAAATACACGTACATGCCGTGAAGCCATGTGACGAATACTTATTTAGATGTAATATAACAGATTCTAAATGCCCTAAAAAGGAAGAAAATGGTTACTTGTGGTATTTTTGTTTTGGTAGCAGCTTTTTGCAGACCGTACTAGCCATTAAAAAAATAAAAGAATATTAGATGATGGGTTATTTTGAAAAGAAATTCGACATGAAGTGATTTTGGGTTTTGCGACTTGTTTCCGTCCAAGCAAGTGTAAAAAGGACACGTTTATTGTCAACTTACAACTTACAAATGTGCCAGACGAATTTCCAGACTAGTTCCCCCTACTGAAAATGCCCATAAACTTATAAAGAAGCTTGATTAATTGTGTATTGTATCAAGTAATCAATTAAATTACAGTAATTAGATTTGCCTACATCAATATTTTCTTGTAGAGAATCCTTCACAATTGTGAACTTAATAGACTGAAAAAGACCATAAAAAAAACGTCGAGCATTAAACTTTTGAGGGGAGTTTCAATGAGAAACACATTATCTCGTTGAGGTAGGTCAGGTACTTTTCTGCGAGTTAACAAGTAGTTACATAAAACTAAATAATATATATTATTTCATAGAAACCATATATTAGCAAATAAAATATGGCATTTGATGCCATACGTAGCTAAGTATCCAAAGTTTGGTGGCGATATTTAAAAAAGCTATTAAAGTTAGTTAAACATTGAGTTTTCAAAATCTAATGATGGAGGAAAATAGCATTTACTTCTAAAACTTAATTAAACATTGTCACCTTTTCTTAATGAAATAAATTATTTTGTATAGATAGATTTTTCACTATCTATTTCGTACTAGGATTTTTTTTGTATCGATTAACAATACCCCAGCTAAGCGAGTAGTTCGACCTTGTTAAATTAGTATGCCGCGCAAACTGGACCGGTGTAGCTATTAAATGACAGCCAACCTCTAGTCCTGGCTTCATTGCTAAAAACAAAGAGTCAGGAATTGTAACGAAAGTGCTCGTAAAAACTGTGCCATTAATCGATGCTAATGGACATGCCGTTCCACGTGGCGTATGTGTAACATTTACATTTAAATGAGGCCAAAAACTGGGCATGCGACCCCGTTACATACGTATAGGACGCGTTGGGCACTGTACCGACTGTAATTAATAACAGGAAAGGAGCAACACTAACGGCAAATACATGGCGACGAGGACCTTCACTATCCATTGTCGTCGAAAACACTCCTTGGTTGCTGGCCAGGCAGGATAAAACTAGCCGGGGGCATGTCAACGGGTACTCCTTATTTTTGCGAGCGCTCGCTCGCTAATTTCCTAATATCCTTGAAGTCGTAAATTTTAATTTAACGTGACTACGTCGGAAATCACACAAAGCGTGGGCGCATCCCCAACCACACTTTGGCACGTCAAACCCGCGAACAGACCCGTACACAACATTCAACAGTTGATCGCGTGCTGTGCCGTAGTCAGTGTTTACCCTTTTCCCATCCTTCCAGGACGCCCCTCCCACCCACTGCGACAGCTGTGCCCAATTTCTGGCACGCAGTTGCCTGCAACTCTGTGTAATTACAGACGTATTTTCTGTACGAATGACTGGCTGCTTTAACCTTTTCACCGGCCATTTTCCCATTTTTCCCATTTCCCCATTTTCATTTAATTTGGTTTCAAGTAATTTTGGGCGCGCGACTAAGCCAACAGGACGCTCGGGGCTCGTAAATTTCAAACTAGTACCAAGGAAGTGGCCGACTTCGGGATTCGATTTCGTATTCGGGCATGTGTGTGTTCAGTGGTGTGTGTGTGTGTGTTGTGTGTGGGTGTGTGTGTGGCACGTTCGCGCTCTAATGCTACACGTCTCTTGTGCCACTTTCCTGGACTGTTGTTTACAATCCCCCAAATTAGTCGCATTTGTTTACATTCATCAATATTTGAGTAACTGCCAGGTTGTTGCAGGTGTTTTGATTGATATTTTTGGCCAGCACTTTCAGGGCAATGAGCAGCTAGTTAATGAAGCGTTTATCTATTTATGTTGCTGACATTTAGTTTGTATTTGGATGTTCGTTGTATTAATTTAGAAACTAATGTAATCGTCGCCCCATAAATATAAATAAACATAGTACTCTTCAACAAAAAATATCGATCAAATGAAACTTATTCATTTGGAAGAAATTTTCTTTTGCTTTCCATAGCTTCCATAGCAAATCTTATTCTGATTACAAATATTTGACGAGCAATATTTTCTAGATTTGTAGGCTACGAAATTCATAAAATATTATGCTTCTTGCTTTTTGCAAGAATCATCCTAAAATACTATTAATACAACGTCATTAAATTAAATAAATATTAAAAACCTGTTGAAAACCGAAGAAACTTAAATATGCGTTGAAAGAAAAACAACAATGCTGCTCACAAAATAGCTGATATCATATTTTTCCAAAGAATTTAATTTTCAATAAACACAATGTTTCAGACATTAAGTAGTGTACCCTATTCCCCTAAAAACAAAGATATATGTGTATATAGCATATCTAGTATATCTTCTTTTCTAATCGATTAATACAAACGTAGATGCCAAATTTCACAAATGTCCTAAATTTGTTTAGTTTAGTAAGAATGTACAAGTATGTAACAATGAGATGTGCTGGAACCCACAAAGGATACTTATCGTTATTGTTCTGTTCATCTGTCTTTTACTGAGGTATAACTATAATATAACTTAGTATTCAGATTCTCCCAAGTCCAATAAAGGACAAGCCTAGGATTTTTTAATATCTCCCGTAATTCTTTGTAATTACATTTAATAAAATTTGAGAATTACATCCAGATAGTACTTGATAGTGGCATCATGTCAAGCATGGTCGTGAAAGGTCAATTCTAAAGGAAGTTATAGCCGTAAATGTGATCTCTGCCCATGATCTGTTGCTGCCAGGGGGGAGAAGGTTCAAAAAATTAGAATTTTGATTAAATAATTCACGATCCATTTAAAAAATAATTTCTGCATATTATCAATGAAAAAACTCCAACAAATCCAACTCAGTTCCATTCCTTAGGCCAAATTTATGGCAAAGTTTTTTGTAGTACAAGTATGTTAAAAATTATTTTTAAATTTTCCATACGTATACAAATATAATACAAATTTTGATTTTTTGTCATATCATTGTGTAATTGAACTTTTCAAGATTTGCCTGTTTTGGCAACGATATACTCATGTTTATCTTTAAAAAAGAGATTGCTCATATCATTTATTTGTACAAGTTGCAAAGTGAAATCTAAGCAAGCGTTATCTTGAGGTCATTTCAATTAAATGTGTAATTAGTACTAATACTATATCTCACGGACGCAATAACAACAATTTGAAACTACACTAATCTTCGTCCATTTATGAAGTACTTTATTTTGAGAAGAAAGATCAGCTGAACAACCTGTGTGGAATATTTTGTATTCGTGTCGCCTCTTATGTTAACAAAAAGTTTCCTGCTGGTTCGTGTCTGTGCTAAGCTACCATAGTAGGCCAGGTTGGCAGCACTGGCCACAGCCGACGCATGCGATCGTCGCAGAAAGCTCTGCTTTGCGGCTCAGAATGCGTTCAGTTACTTTTAGTTACTTTGTGTTGGTCGCGCCGTGCTGTTCGCACCGATATCGAGTCTCTTTTATATAGCCGGGAGCTGTTGGTCTGTGGCTCATCTGGTGCGGCGATTGATCGATTTGAAACTCGTGCGTTTTCGAAAACAAGTGTGTTTACGGTTTCGAGTAGAAACACAACAAAAGATCGAGTGTAAACAACAACCTGAATATTGAGTTTACTTTTGAAGAGTGCCTTGTTTTCGTGTTTATCTGATTGTGCCACTTTTACCAACATGCAGATATAGATGCAAGATACACATATAAACGATGCTCGTTACAAGCTCTTTTGTCTCAAATTGAGAAATCGAAATTTCGCGCTTGCCGTTAAAGAATTTTTTACGCATATATTTATTTGTTTTGTGTACGAGGAGATCGAATAATTTAAAAAATTTCCCTTTGATGTGCCTCCTCTGCCGCGTGTGAACCGCTCGTCGCCCAAAGACACATTTGATAATGAATTGATTACGTATTTGCAACTGTTGTCAATTGCCTTTGTCTCTGTATCTGTATCTGTATCTGTGTCTGTTGTCGCTCTCATGGTCGCCGCCAGAACAGAACGTATTGTGTTTGACAAATTAACGCATTGATTAGCATCGACCTGCAAACTACACATGTATCCGTAAATTGTGGCTACTCGGGGGGATACGATACATAAATCTATCTAAACGATAATCGAATTCGATCGTATTAATTGCCAGTCTATATACATACTTGAACATACGTAGTTGCAAATGCCGAATGTTTCGAGCGACTGATTTCTGTCTGTTCTCGTCCCCCATTTAAATGAGATATTCTCTTCTACATATATTTTCTAGATACGCGTACTACATCACGAAAACGAAAACCAATTGCAACTATTTTCGCGGGAAATTCCGTAGAGCTTGTATTTTATTGTATATAGCCTAGTGACGCATCGGAAATAAATTATATTTTTATTTGCTTAAATGCGAGATCGTCATTTGGGCAAAATGCCGCGTGGTGGAACAACAACAGCGTAAGTCGAAGCAGCATAAAAGATCCAAATACTTATATGTATATGTATATATACATACTACTTATATGTTCAAGTGTTTGTTCGCAAAAAATACAAATTAAAAAAAGCAATATTTTGTTCCTAAATCAAGAAAGCCCGGTAATGGCGATATTTGAAAGCACTTCTTCCCGGCTCTAATTAATGGTATACTCCCAAACGCAGCCTGATTATGAGTTGAAGATTAAAGTTTATACCCAATAGAGATAATTACTTTTATTATTATTTTATACAAACCCAAAAGTCCTTTTTAATGAAAATTGGTCGCCCCACCCTTAAGGTTGATTTTAGGTAGAGATCAATAAATATTTGATTCAAGTAAACTGGAGTATAAGAAATTCTTTATACTTGTAGTTTTCTTTCCGCTTTTACTTGGGTAGAAATTATAGTATTTGCCTATTAGCTGTAAATTGATAAATTGCTTGTCACTGAAAGGAAGTCTGAACTGTGTATATAGTATGCACATACTTATGGATACATTCTGTATGTATCCGGGCCTGGACACTCGCGTATTTGCAAGTCAATCTAAATTCAAGAGAACATAATGTTGATAAAATTGCTCCGTCTGCGTGTACGTTTGTATTTATAAATATAATAATTCAATGAATAGATTGCAGCACTCATATGAGTGGTAGCCGCAAAACATGATGCAGAGCAGAATATCGCATTTGTTTCGTGTCGAGTTGTAGTACCGCGAAATTCGATTGTATCTTGAAGATACAATTACATACTCGTGTGTACATATAAACACATGCGATATTCCAAAGTGGTGCGCATGCCATTTCCATAGCGCCGTCTGTACCAGGGCGACCAGGGAGGAGGGGCTTGCCGCCCCAGTTAATATTTCAATTGAACTCAGAAATACTCCGCCACTACGGCCGTCTGTGGCCTCCGCAAACAATTGCCAGCCATTGTGCTGGTACTCTATGTATCTACATACTCACATGTTTTGCTTAACGCACACTTCATCTTCATCATCAGCATTATAATTAACCCGCAGGATACTTGAAGAGGCACAACAAACCGATGCGTGCCAGCCACAACAACTGTTTCAATTAACTGGTAGTTAGTTTTAATTAAGCGCTCAAAAATCAACAATGCTGCCCTCTAACATACTACTTATTTACTTATCTACATGCTAAGTATATGTAAATAAGTGTGTAAGTATGTGTAAGTGTATAATTTGTTACATCCTACTCGTTGGCTAATTTCAATTGGCCTGCACTTCCTACATTGCATGCATAGAAGAACAATTTTAACTTGGACTTCCCCAGACATTTTTCAGAATAAAGATCAAGCAAAGAAGTATTAATCCCCTTTCTAAACAAGTAGCAATTGATCGAATCAAGAATCTGTAATTGCGAAAAATAATAATAAATTCTAGACCTTTTCTGTATTTAATATTTTGAAGCCTTTTTCGTTCTTTCGTTTTCTGGAATCTACTTTATGTAAATAAATTTCAAATCGTCATTAAATATCTATATAAGTAGTAGCAGATGCAAAAATAAAGATGTTTGAAAAAAGTTATTATTTATTAGATATTATTGTAATTTGTTTAGATTTCTCCTACTTAGGCTTTCCTAGCTTATAAAATTGTTATATGTATTTTATTCTCCATTGTCGACACTCAATGTTTGTTGACTTCAATATAAATAAATAAATAAATAGAAAATAGGTTGGTTTTAGAATTCGAAACAATTATTTTCGCACATACCCAGCTCTTATTTAAGAATACACATTTTTTCTGAGTGTGTTTATTGCTTGAATCAAATAAAGACTCTACGTTTCTGTTCAAATTAAACAAACATTTAGCGACTTTTTGTTAATTTGTTTTCGTTCAAGTATTTATAACTTGTCATAAGGTGTTGTTTTTGAATAAAATAAATAAACTTCTGAGTGTAGATCACTCCATTAGCCCATCCAGACAATTGTTGCATCTTTAAGCGCTGGGCTAGCCTCATTATTCCAGTCTTCCAGTCAAGTGCAATGCGCACACCTCAATGCCTCGTTTAGCAAAACGGGTTACCTCGCTCCACTTTTGGGCAGACCCGTCCCCACGACCGCATCTCCAACAGCTTCACCACCAGCAGCAACAGCAACAGCATTTGTTTTAGCCATAATTAGCCCGTTTTTATGTTGAGATATGGTCAACGCATATCTGCGTTTGCAGCTCGCGCTGCTGCCAGTTCGGCCTGTCGGATTTTCAGATAAATCCACAAGTGGCAATCACATGATCCCACTGTCAGACATCAGTATCCACCTACTTGCACAATCATATCATGTTGACTGCTCACACGAATTAATACTTAGTATAATTAAGATAGCACACGTACACACAGATTTACTTTTTTTAAATGCCGTGATTTGTGAAATCGTTGGTGCCAGAAAAAATACTTGTACACCTAACTCAAAAGTGTATCTACAAGTAAATGAGCTGAAATGAGATGGCATTGAAGTGATTTGCTGTGACGCGTGTTTTAGCCTCTTGGAGCACATTTTATTGACAATTCGCAAGAAAAACAAAGGGCTACTAAAACGAATATTATTCAAAGCTATAGCCGTTGCCACTCATCCTCATTACCATCCGCTTATCTGTCTGAACAAACTTATTTCCTAAAGTGTTGGGGTTCTTCGACTCCCTTATTAAGAGCTGCTCTTGCATTTTCTTTTCTTATAAGTAGTTTCAAAGGGCTGCTTAAATAAATAGATGTATTAAGTTCAAAGCTATCTCCTTATCTCCTTAATAGTGAGATTTCTTTGACACGCTAACTAAGACTTTTTTTCTTCTTTAAATGTAGCTTCAAAGGGCTTCCTCATTACCATTCGCTTATCTGTTCGAACAAAACGTATCTCCTAATGGGTAAGGTTTCTTATCCCTCCTAACTAAGAGCATTTCTTGTTTAAAGATAGTTTCAAAGTGACAATTATTTATTTCGAAAATGATGTTTTAGGAATACTTTTTAAATTATTACTTATTTACTTTGAAAGAACTTATCTCCTAAAAAATGAGCTTTTCTTGTTAAATATACCGTCAAAGGGCTTCTAAAATAAATATTTTATGTTCATAGCCATCCATCCTTATTACCACTACCCTTATCTGTTCGAACAAACTTATCTCCTCAAGAAATAGATTTTTTATCACCCCTAGCGAAGTGCATTTCTTTTTTAAATATGTTTTCAAAGCGTCAATTATTTATTTAGAAAATGAATTTTAAATTATTACTTATTTACTCTGAAAGACAATATTTAGGCTTGGCCAATAAAAAATCAACAGAAACAGGAAAATTATAAAGCATTAAAGCAATTTATATATGCTTGATTCAATCAATTAAATGCCAGTATTTCATTCAACAATTGCACCTGTAAGAATGAACTTTTCGATTCAATTGCAAGGTTAGCTGAATGATTCGCTCAATTAAAGTCCAAGGTATTTCCCAGTCGAAGTCTTGTTGCTCTCTTCAATGCTGGCCATCTTAATATCCATGAAATTACTTTGGCCATAATCAAGCAAAAGCCGCTCAAGCTAAACTAAGTATGAAAAAATGACGAACGTGCATTTCACCAAAAGCAACAAACTTGTTCCCAAGTCAAACATACGAATACGTTCAAGTGAGCTCCCAAGCGAAAAGGCCCAAGTCAAGTGGGCCTTAGGCCCGGCACAGCAAAGAAATTGAAGACGATGCTGGCTGGCCAGACAGACATGGGGTTAACGCGAAGTCAAATCACATTGATTTCATATGAACTTTGTGGCTTACTCGTATGTTCGCTTTCGCCCGGCTCATAATGCTGATGCGCATTTATGCTGATGCTGATGCTGATGCAGCTTCTCCTACAATGTCGCCTGATGGGTCCATAGAACTGTCAGCTAACGCGCTTTCTTCGATCCTCGACTATGTATCCGCCAGACTGTCTCCCTGTTGTTGTGGGCGCAGAGTCAATAGCCGGACCGATGTTGTTGCAGTTGCCGTTGCCGTTGACCCATTAGACAGAAATAGCGGTAAATCAGGCTCAGTCAGGTACGGTGTGCACTTGAACTTCCAAAACTGGTTTGACTATAACTTTTTTCCCTCAAATACCGTGCATTTTTCCACATTTGTGTAAGGCAAAAGGCAAAAAGAAAGAAGAAAAAAAAGCGAAAAGCTTTTAGCGAAATTTTCTCACACACAGCAGTTAAAAGTGAAAGAGATACAAATGCAGAGATACAGATAGAAACACAGATACTCGCACTGGCACTCGCACTCGTACTTGTGCAACTGCAAGCAACTGCAGCCGCATGTGTGTGCGTCTGTTGTTTGTGTTTAAACAATTTGTGGTCGTTGCGCCGCGGCTGCGGCGACGCACAGTGGGCGACTTTTAAGAAAACATCTGTCAAAAACCCAAGGAGGCAATTTCGATAGCAACGCAGCTCTGTGTCCGTAACAGTCTGGTTATTTATTTAATTATTACGTACGTAGGAAGAAACATGTGTTTTAATTTTATCGTTGAGGCTAAGAGATAAAGAAGAGAGAGAGAGAGAGAGAGAGAAAATACATAATTTTATGTTATTTATTTATATTTATATCAATAAACTTTGACTGTCGACATAGGACAAAAAACTATAAGAAGCATGTTATAAGCTAGGAAAGCCTAACTAGGAGAAATCTAATCAAATTACAATAATATCTAATAAACGCCTTCGACCTAGTGGGGGAATGTTATTTGCCTTTCGGCTAGTTGTGCCCCGTCTCACAGCCAAGAGTGGGCAGAGGTGTCAATAGATATATAAAAAAAACCTTAACAACAACAAAAAATATTTAAAAGTTAATTAAAAAAAGAAATAATACATATAACAAACTAACAATAATATTTAGTAACTTAACCGGCCCGTTGGGCGGAATTTCATCCTATTTTTCCTATCCCTTTATAGCCAAAAAGCAATAAAAGAAACCTAAGTACATGCTTTTAAATTGAAAATTACGTTAAGAAAAGAAAATAAAGGAATATCCCCAATCTCGAGGAGGACCACATTTAATAGCTTCCTACTCACATCTGAAGTCGCTTTTAAGCAGTAGAGAGAGAGAGAGAGAGAGAGAGAGAGACAGAGAGAGAGAGAGAGGGAGAGAGAGAGAGTGGGTAAGATGAGAGAGTATCCTGTGAGTAGTTAAGAAAGACTATTTTATTAGAATGACTATATGAGTGTTTTCCACCAAAGTAGAGTTGTATTTTTAAATATAGGCTACGTGCGTGCAGGATTGAAAATTCTAATTGATTTAGGCGCTATTTATTAAATAATCGTACGTAATAATTTACATTTATTAAAATGCGCAGATTTTGATCAGTTTCCTTACTGTACTTTGATTGCCTTTGATTGAGCAGTACACAGTAGCCACCAAATAATTATATAAAAAAAGAAATCCTATTATTTTTTTTTAAAGAGACTCTTTGAAAAACTCTAAATAATTTGTTTCGCGCCTTGTTCCAACTTGGCCCACTGTGCGCCGGTGGCGACCACAAGCAGTGAGTGAAATATGTGTTAAAGCAAACGGTTATGCTCGCCTCCTTTATTTTTAAGCGAGCCCGCGGCAGTTCGAGAAATGTGTTGAAAGCAAAATGCTTGCACCCGTACCCTTCTCCCCTCCACCCCCCCACCCGTTCACTGAAAACACCGAGCATTGTGCCCAGCCAGCAGCCAGCAGCCAAGTGCCTGCATGCTGCCCGGACGAGCGGCACATCGTACAACGGCCGTTCATTGACATCGAGCTTGGCTATTGCTAGTCACCCTCCCCAGCCTCCCCCTTTCCCCCTCTCCACCGCCGCCATCATTTCACCCATTAACCGCACTCGTTGCAATCGCCTAATGAAATTGTCAGCCTGCATCTGCATCAGCATCATCATCAGCATCAGCTTCAGTCGCGCCTCTGTCTGGCATGTAAATTGAAGCGCTCATTATCACAAAATGATGTAAGTGCGACCAATGTTGCAACTTGCTATACCAGCCAACCCCCCCCCCCCCCCCATTCGTGATGCCCCTACACCCCCTTTCACTCATTGCTGTTGTTGGGAAAGTGCAAGTGGTGGGTGTGTGGAGCCCGTTAATGCAATTGCAAGAGTAATGAAATAATTGTTTTGCTTTGCCATCAGCATAATCGGCAGCGCTTTCCTTTTGTGTCTTCGTCTTACTTGTCTTCTCGTGCTGTGCATTGCTATTTATTTTAATAAATTTGTTTACTTTCGTTTCGAATTGCATTCACTCGAAGATTGCTGTCGTTTCAAGTGCAACCGCAACGGCTCTGCAAAAGAGTTGCACTTGGAAATGATTAAACGGCTCGTTGGCAGTCAGCTATGCGCTTAATTAGTGGGTCTCCGGCTCCGACTCCGACTCCGTCTCCACTCCTCCCTCTGCAGGCAATGCCTGACAGCTGCTTGTGCATGAATTGAAAGCCCATTGTCCCCCTGGGGCACTGTGGCTGCGACTCATCTGGTTGCCACAAAAGGCCAGTGGGAGCTGCTGCTGCTGCTGCTACAGCTAGTGTTGTGCGTTTTAATGATGGATTTGTTTTTTGGGGCTGAGATCATAGTCATTATCGTCATCATTGCCACAACGAGCAGCAATTGCCGACAATCCAACTTGTTGTCACTTGAGAATATGATGTGTGAAAACTGATACTGAGGACCTACATTGAAGCTCAAAAGCGATAATACATAGCACATACTTCCACAGACATACTATACATACATACGTAAATATTTATGAATTTGTAAATTGAAACAAAATAGCTGAAATTGAGTTCAGCTTTTTGGATTTAAGAATTGAAGCCAAAAAATGTGCGATTCTCCTTAGCTAAGCGACAATTACGGGCCAGAATTTCTTTGTAGAATTCGCGCTACATACTATACCTTTACAATTTAGAGGAATCAAAATCAAATCAATATAAAATACGAGACTAAGACTATAACCATAACACTAACACATACACCACCATAAGTACGAGTATATGTAAAATTATTTCTTTATCAAAAGCAAAAGCAAAAAAAACTTTGGGGTTTGCTCATTTCTAAAAACATTTTGAAAGACGTACGCAAACATTCACAAATTACATTTTCCAAAACAAAGTTTAAGCATCGACTTTTTCAATATTATAATATTTGATCTTTCAAACACACACAACTATTTCTATTCTGCTCACGATAAGAAAAGTAAAGCACTCTGAAGAAAACAGTATGATTTTTTTTGATTTATGTTTATGAGCTTTTATGTATGTGAAGATTAAGGACATGATCATACGGTTGCAGAATTGAAAGTCCAGGTCGAAAGATCATTACAATGTTTCAAGATTCATCCAGCAATATGAATGTGTTTTTTGTGACCTTCTTGAGTCGGTGGTGTATTTTATGACATCCTTCGAATGAAAGCCAGCCGATTTTCAGTACATATGCAAAGTAAGCCCACTTGCAAAACAATTTCTTAAAAAACAAATAGCTCTAGTTATCCCCAAAAGACTTATTAGACTTATTAGATACCAAATATTGTTTTAAAAATACTCACACTCGCCTCCAAGCTTTGAAAATGAAAAATTATTAATGCATTTTTAATCATTACACAGAAAAATAACGTACATTATTCGAAATTCTACAACTTTTAAAGCTTTCTGGTTTTAAACTAGATGAAAAAACCATTGGAATAAAAAAAACAAGCTGGTGGAGTATTGTAGTTAGATATTAAAATATAATAACGGTTTTTAAATACATACTTCATATGTATTTATATACTGACTTTGAAATACTCTATACATATGTGTAGAATAGTTATTGAAATAAAGAGATTATTTCGATTAGATAGAAGGGTAATAGTACTTGTAGTTCATTGAAGAATAATATTTTATATGCCATAGCAAAGGGTATATAGCGACGGTACAGATAAAAACAATTTTGTTACACATAAACAGATGAATCTTTAGAATTAAATGCTCACCATTTGTTGTCAAAAGAAAAAAAAAAAAGTACAAACACAGAATTTTCTACAGAGAAGACTCTAAATTGTTTATTTCATATGGTAGGAACAGAGGCTGATGGGGAACTTGGCAGCTTCTCTGAAGAACGTTGGGAAAAAAGAAGACAAGTAAGAAACTGGAAAGAATCAACGATCTAGTGCGGTGCTTCTTCAAACAGTTTATAGTTGACAAGTCCTGTCTATAGTAGGCAGATCATCCTACGCGAAGAATCTGGATCCGTTGCGATTGGCTTTTCAAATTAGATAATTACGAACTTTCGTGACCTCGTGGCCGATTCCACTTGAGTTTCCAAGTTGTCTACAAGTATGTGCTCGCTTTTTAAATCAATTAAGATGATTTGCAGCACATTCAACTTGCAATTAGTGGGTTGTTTGTTTGCCCGACGGTTGAAGAGATTAGAGTGAAATTTCCATAATTACTTACATACACATATACTTACAAAAGTGTAGGAATCTACAGATTTCAAAATGTGTCTCTGTGCGTATTCGTAGTCATGTGCGTGACTTAAGTTCCAATTATGCAATAAAATGTTGTTGTTCTTATATGATTGAATTAGCACCGTGCTAAAAGATCTTTATTAAGTAAGACAGTAGTAGTATTAAATGACCTTAATCATCATATATCCCAAACCTAGGTGGGTTAAATCAACTGAAGATGGTACTAAAATGAAAGCTATTGATGAAGGATTTATTGATGAGCTGAATAGAGTTTTATTTCGAAGACCACGTCAAGAAAGGCGGCGCACGTAACTTTGCGAATAACGAGACCTATATTAATAAGTTTTTGTTTCTGTATTTCCAGGCGCTATGAGGAGGACCCGGACAATGCCTGGAACTGTTGCTCCTGGTGCGAGTATTTACTCATCGTTATACTGTCCACCATACTGCTGGTGGGGGTGTTGATCCTCACGCTTTTCTGGGTGATGTTCTATCGTGGCGGATTCGCCTGGTCCGAGAGTCCCGCACACCAATTCAACTTGCATCCCATTTTAATGGTGGCAGGTTTCATAACACTCTCGGGATTTTGTAAGTGTTTGACTTCATGAAAAATGCATTTTAGCTAATGGTCCCATTAATATGCAGCCATCTTGATCTACCGCCTCTGTCGCTGCATGAAGCACATCTATGTGAAGCTGATCCACATGTTCTTTCACGCCGTTGCCATACCCTGCGTGGCCCTCGGATTCCTCTCCGTCTTCGACTCGCACAATGCATTGCAAAAGCCGAGTTTCTACAGCCTACACTCTTGGCTGGGCTTCGTGACAATGGGCATGTTTGTGTTACAATTTGTAATCGGCTTCTTCAGGTAGTTATAGACGCGACTTTGATTTCTTAACTCAGTGCACTAATTAATTTGATGTGTGGCAATCGACCATTGCTTCAGTTTTCTTGTGATGCTCTGCTGTGAGAACAAGACCTATAGCTGCCGAGCTGCCATGGTGCCCGTTCACGCCAGTCTAGGATTGGCCAATTTCTGGCTGGCTGTTGCCACAGCTGTGACCGGACTGATCGAGAAGGAGCGCGAGACTGCCAAAGACGAGACGTTAAGGTAAATGTTTATCGAGATTAACATTAACTTAAATTAACTTTTTAATGAATTTATCTCTGTCCGTACCTATATTTTCAGCTCCGAAAATAGGCTCATCGAGCACTACATAACGAGCGCCATTGGCATTACCTTGGTGCTGATTGGCATAATTGTGACCTTTGCCGTGCGAAGGTCGAATGCTCCCGCCTCGGCTAAAGTCTACGTTACCGAGCGCATTTAAGGGTCATCAGTTCGCCCCCAGCCACGTCCACAGCCAGTGATGCGAATGCGTTCCCATCTCCTACTACTACTACTACTACTACCACAAACCTAACCCAAATCTATATGGTTAGCGTATTGTTCGCTACACAACAGACTTGCACTAAGCAATACATGAAACCAATGAGGATAACATATAATGAAAAAACTAGATAAAGCAATGCCTCCCATGCATTTTCCACTCTTAATATTGTATACATACATAATTACATACTTTTCCCCGTGCTAGCATTATGAACTTTAATATGCCAAATCAAAAAACCTTTATAAACCTTTTTAGCTAAATCAGATTTCATGGCAAATCCAAATCAGCTTTATCAACAAGACGCCAATTTAAATTTCTAAGTAGATTGTAGCTAAAGGAATCTCAAAACACAGACTTACAGTGCTGTAGACCACCAATACGACCATTAGTTCTGCAATATAAAGAATCTTTAAAAGTGGACTTATTATGAACCACAGGACCGCCCAGCCCGACCAATTATGAGAGAATCAAAATTTAAATGTTCAGCTGAATACACGGCCACTTTTTTTGATATTGTAGTAGAAGGATTTTTATATAAATCTATATATACACCTGGTACCATTCTATATACATAAATATACATACTTCATAGAGTACACGTATTTAGATATTGTCGCATTTGATGTTTTCTGTATTTGTACTACCTAGTATATGTATTTCATGAATCGCTAAGCAATGTAAGAAATTGTAAGCCAACTTACAATTACGCAATAAATGATTTTTTTATTTATTAAAAAGTTGTTGTTTAATGTTGAAGAACTGTAAGCTTAAGCATCTAGTATACACATTATTCCAAAGTAATTGCTGTATGCAAATAAATAATATTCAGGCCTGTTCCGAATTTCAAATTTCGATTCCAGTTGTAAGAACTTTCCAGAATTTCACTCTGATTTTAAATTTTTCCATACATGCGTATCTAAAACTATTGAAATAAGATTTATGTATATTCGACAAACGATTATTTTGTTTGAATTCGGAACATGACTGATTGTTTGTGTATAGGGCTTCAATTATACTTAACAGCTATTTGAATCATATTTTATGTGTGTATGTACATAAGAAAAAAACCCTGGGTACTTTTTTAAAAAATAAGAAAACAGTCGCATCAGTTCTAGTTGTCAGAAGTTGCAGATCTTGGTAGCTTTGCCATTCGTTTTCTCAGCCGAACAACAGGCTCCTCCTCAGTGTGTAGCATCCACTCCGACAGGCCGTCTTCCGAATTCTCATCATTTCCATGTGTAATAGAATAGATCCAGACATCTTGCGGCTCCTGCGTGGGTAGTGCCATATCGAAATTCCGCACACGGGGCGGTTTGGGCTTTATATTTGCCTTTACACTTGCCAACTGTAGAGGTGTCACAAAATTGCGGATCCATGGCTTTGGCTGCAGGAGTTCTCGTTCTAAGGACTTTACAGGTTTTATTGGTGGTTGCTCATCCGTCTGTGGCTCTGGTGATAAGGGTCTTTTGTGTACATAAGTGAGGTCAGGTTCAAACGCTGGCACTTCTCCCTGTGGTATACATAAGTTATCAGTAATGGAAAAATAAGGCGAAGTGGACTGTTTTTTACCAAACATAAATGAAGTTTTTTTGCCTTCGTATTGTCAGCTATTAGGAGTCCACATTTACATTCCACGTATCCATGCAGTCTGTATATAGGTCCCACTTTCTTGATACTGAAACACCTCTTGGCATGTGCAAGTGGCATCTTGAATCTGTCCATTTGCCTGCCACAACTTGGGCAGTACGTTTCTCCCAAAAGCTCGTTCAGGCTGTACCAAAGTTCCTTCCTTCCTTTCGATGGCTGTTAAATAAAGGGTCAAGGAGTATTAAACCGCATGTTATATTAAAAAAATAGGAATCTCACCTTCATTTTGACGTAATATCGCAACCACTTCTTACAGTTTTAATTATTTAAGAAGTATTATATTATGCAGTATATATATCCTATAACGACAAATTCAAACGTGAAGGGTTTAGGAATGTCGCAATTTGATGATTTAAGGACAATCGATTAATATTACAAATACCACAGGAAATTTCGAGGCAATTGTACCCACCACTAAAAAAGACGCAATTTTACAATTATATACAATATTTTACCTATACTGCTGGTAAATCCACGCACCGATATAAAAGGCTTTACGAGGCCCACTTGTGCAAATGTTCTAATTTAACAAATTCAACAGGTCTGCGAGAAATGAGGCAAATCATACTACGACTTATGATTCCGCTGGCAAGCAAACAACACCAACAACTGCGCTAAGAAATCCAGCGGTTTCTTGTTTGTGCAAAATCCATATCTTTTTCCTTTAGTATATGAGACTCAGGTGCTATTAACTTTATAGTTTTTGCGTTAAAATTAAAGTAATTATTATAAAGAAACTGGCAATTGCCTCGCTGTTTGTGCTTGATACTGAAGATGTCACAATAGTTCGATAACTTACATATATTCATCTGGCATCATTATTCCAACAGTCTGGCAGTATACCCGATTATTTTTGGCGTGTATCTATTGTGAACCAATCTGTAAACAGCTGTGCTTGCTTCGGACTTAAATTTTCTGCGGCATTTGCAAAGTTAGTAAATAAAAACAATTCTGGACAGTTTTCCCATCACTGGCACAAAATTGCCAGTGAAATAACTCATGTTAACAATGGGTAAGTCGTGAGTGCAAAAAAAGTATTAAGCACAATAGGCAGCAGACCAGCTAACGCTTTACGGCTTACTCTACGTGCCAACTGGAAAAAATCTATGATCGCAAGAAAAATGCAAATATGTACATACTAAGACCATCCAACTGTCCTTTTAGCAGCACCTGTGACTTGTCTTTTGTGCCTGGATGAGAATTCTCTTCTTGCGCGGGAATATATAGACATCCACTCAATCAAGGGAACGCAACTGGAGGTAACCAAGATATTGAACCAGCATTTCCACCTGAATGTAAGTATGGGCAGTCCCGCCACCAAGCAACTAACTAATACCAAATTCTGCATAACACAGCTTGTAGAAAGTCACCGAGAATCAAGAAAAATATGCTCACGTTGTTGGAAAACTGTTTTCGATTTTCATACTCTATACGAATTTGTAAGTGCGGCGCAAAGCTCTCTGCAGGAGACGAAAGTGTTACTTATGGAGGACGACCCATTAACGCAAGGAAACTATGGGGAGTCACCAAAGTTGAGTATCGGGGAGCCGTCTCAAGTTCAACTCCAGCCGAATGAAGGAAATTTATTTTATCCCGAAATAAAAATAGAGGAGCATGAGCTGGACCAATTGCCGAAAATTGAAGTGCTTGAGAACACAACAAATGTACAGCCTCGTAAGGAATCTGGGAACACAAGACGTTTGAGAAGACGTGGAAAGACGGAAACTGTCAACACAAACAGCGAACCCAAAACTGTAGGAGAGATTGAGCCTACTTTGATTCCTGCGGAAGTGCCTATCACACCAATTAAACGCCGCGGTCGTCCACGCAAAGTACAAATCCCTGTAGATGTACCAAACAACAATGTGCAAATTGATAAGCCGGTAGCTCCCAGTGTTAAGTCAGAGGAGCCCGCAGAGTTTTCTGACGAAGAAACAGAATTTGGAAATATGGATCCGGATTTCCTACACAGCGATGGAGGCAGCAACAATAGTACAAGCAGCAATGAAGAAGATGATGAAGACGACTCCGACTTCGAAGTGGCGAAACCAGTAAGCACCGACTTTGCGGTGATTCCCAAACGTGTCGTTGTGCGACCCAAGAAGTATAAAAAGCGCGCGAAACCGTTAGAGCCCAAGGCGCGCATGTCAAAGGAAATGCTGGAGCAGCGGAAAGCGCAGCAAAAGGAGTATGATGATATCATTGCGAAGTTCTTTAACAACGTGCTTCCATGCTCAGTTTGTGACCTGCTGGTGCACAATTTTACTGAAATGCAACGCCACCACCGCCTGACACACCAAATCGATCCTGGCTATATGATGTGCTGCGGAAGGAAATTTACACAGCGAAAGGTGTTGGCCGAACACGTCTTAGTCCATGGTGATCCGGATCATTTCAGGTGCGATTCTTGTGGGAAATCATTCCAAAACTCGCGTCATTTGGAGTCTCATCAGCGGGTGCATTCAGATGAGTCCTCAAAGCTGATGTTCCACTGCGATCAGTGCCCCAAAGTTTTCCTTAGCAAAACGGCCATTGACTACCATAAGCTAAACAAGCATGTCCCCAAGTCCGAGTTCAAATTCGGTTGCACAGAGTGCAACAAAAGGTAAGTACGGACAAAATTAACCAAAATCAATGAATCCATCAGTGCATTACTTGCTTCACTCAAAGATTCCTTACCGAGCGAAAACTGAAGAATCACATGAGCTCCATGCACGACCCGGAGAGCACGATTATATGCGACAAATGCGGCAAACAGATGCGTACAAAAATCATACTGAAGAAGCATCAAGAGCTGATGCATTCCGATAAGCCCCGACCAGAGCCGGAGTTAAAGCAGTGCCAAATCTGCGGAGCCTGGCTGAAGGGTATTACGGGCCTGAAGCAGCACATGAAAAGCATACATGTGGAGAGCGCGGGTGAGCATCGCTGCCATGTCTGCGACAAAGTATCGCCAAATGCGCGTGCCCTGCGTCGCCACATCTATCACAATCATGAATGCGAGCGCAAATTCAAGTGCACTATGTGCGACAAGGCTTTTAAGCGACCCCAGGAGCTGAGGGTAGGTTGATCTTTATTCAATTTGGATAATCTAGCTTAAATTATTCTATTAAGATTCAGCTTAAAGAAGATTAGTAAACTGAAAACTCTCGATTCACATTTACATACGAATTGTCGCCTACAGGAACACACATCCACACACACGGGCGAGGTGCTCTACACATGTCCCAACTGTCCCATGACCTTCTTCTGCAGCGCTAACATGTACAAACATCGCCAGCGTTTGCATCGCGCCCAATACGAGGCGGATAAAAATCAACCCAGACCGCCAAATATTCTGCAACAGGCTGTGGGCGCAACCGCAGCCATGAAAATCAAACTAATGCAGAACTTGAGCACTTCGACGCCACCGCTGCCGGACATGGAGGCGGACATGAAGCATTTTTAAAGCACATTCATTTTACATTATACATACATTTAGTAATGGGTCATTTCGTCTTAGGTTTTAAATTAAAGTATGCTTAAGTTGAAATTGTAATTAGACAAAAATTAAACTTATACATACATACTTGTACGTACATGTGTCTACTTGCCAACGCATTTTATATACTCGTACATATGTATGTATATATGTCTGTGTATGCATGTCCAAAATCGTGCGTGTGCTCCCTTAGCGGTGGGCGTTGCATCCCACGGGCATGGCCGTGAACGCACCCAGTTTAAATGGTTGTTAGTGCAGTGGCTATAAAAGCGCGTGTTGCACACTCTAGTGTCCTCAGTTGCTGTTTTTGTGGTGCGACATAATGGCGGATCAGTTGAAAGGAAAGCGTAGCACAATTTGGCCCGGACCTGAGCTGTTGCCGCTGCCAAATACGAACTACAACCGAGCCAGCATTACCTCGGCCGCCTTGAGCGACGTGGCGAGCGATGTCATCATAAAGTCACGCATTCGATATGGCAGCCGCCTTTCAGCCTGCAAGGGCATACTTCTCGAGTACTCGAAGAGCACCACTATACATGGCATTCGTTATATTTTCGAGGTGCATCGTCCCATCTACGAGAAGTGGGGTTTTCTGCCGTCGTTTTGGGGTATTATCGTTGCTTACATTTTGCCGTTCACAGATTATATTGGCTGGTGTTGACCTGTACTTCTGTCTATTTTGCCGTCTCGCTCATTTGGGACACCTATCTGAAGTGGCAGGACTCGCCTGTCATCCTGGGGTTCGATGAGACGCTTGTGCCAGTCCATCGAATACCCTTTCCGACCATAACCATTTGCCCAGAAATTAAAATGGAGCGTAATGTCTTTGATTATAGGAACATTTCGCGACAGATTTTGGCAGACTTTAAGCAGAACCAACAATTCCTAAACGTGGACAGCATAGAAGAGGAAGAGTTGAGTATTAAGCTGCTGGATGAGCTGCCCCAATATCATGCTCTGAATCGGTCCTATTTTGCAGTCTGGCGCGTATGGCGGCTACCATGCATATCTGTGACGCTGATGTGGTGCAGCGATTTGCACCGCTCTTCTCTCAGCTGCCACAAAATGTGGATATCGCCCGAACGCTGTTGGACCTGACCATAACGAAGAATCTGACGGCTCCGTTCTGCAAATGGAATGGACGGTTCTACTTTTGCGATAAGATATTTGATTTCGTCCCCACCGACGAAGGCATCTGCTATCAGTTTAATGGACTGCGGCCCAAGGACATTTATCGGGATGAGCGTTTTGTGAGCTACGTAGATCCGGACATAGTCGACTTCAATAACTTCTTTGACGACCTGGAGCCGCTGAACAACATTACTGGCAACTGGTCCCTGGACTCTGGTTATTTGGGACAGGGAAAAAACGCGTATCCCCAACGCACGGTTTTTTCGTCAGCCCGCAATGCGTTCTTTGCCTTCCTTCAGGCCCTCGAGCACAATTATGACTTCGATTGCCGCAGCTTTAAGCAGGGATACAAGGTGCGTAAATTTACTTGATTTTACTTATGTATAAAAAAAAACAACAGATACAGCCGAGCAAGCCCGACAGCGAAATGCCCTGTACCCAGACGAACTTCGAATTATATGAGCCCATAGCAGAATCAGAAAGAAGAAGAGCGAATTTGATGCTACAGTTTGTAGCCGTAGTACTCAATGAACTTTGAAACAAAAGTAGATATTTGTATATTGGACAGTATTGAGGAAATTCTGTAGCGAGGGAAGTGGAGAGAAAATCAAAAAATAAAATAAACTCGTGTAGCCTAGGGATTAGGAGCGCCTATATACCAATTTTGGTTAATGTGCACTCAAACGTTTCCGAAATCCAGGCGTTCATCCAGACGGACGGACGGACATGTCTAGATCGGTTTTTCCTGTCGTGCTGATTCAGAATGTATATACTCGGAGATGCTTCCTTCTGCCTGTTACATACTTTGCACAAACATAAAGACAGGTAATATCTATTGCTGTAACAATTGGACTGGAAGAATAGCACGGTAGATCAGTAGTTCATTCAAAAATAGTGTCAAGCAATGGTTAGAGTTGCATGTCCGACAGTGGCTTAAGCTTTTTCCCAAAAGCATACAGGATAGGCACCGTGGAACATTATTTTTTGGAAACTATTTTTATTTTATTAATTGTTCAAAGAGTTTAATAACTGTAAAATGATATATAATTTCCATCCCCCTGTATGTCACCGATTTTATTGTCCATAGCTTTAATTAAGGTTTTTAATACAGGTCTCCTTTAGGAAAGAAAGCAATTTGTATTAATACGGTTTTTTTAGTTCTATAAAAATTCAAAGTTTCAAAAAAAATTAGTTAAGTTCTATACGTAATTTAGTCGTAGCTTTTCACCTTAAACTGTTTTTATTTCATAGAAATAATTTATTAATACAGTCCTATTAGAGCTGGCGCCCTATCCTCTAACAGGATTTACAGTCCTTTATAACACGACGTCTACTAACATCGCGCATATTCAAATATTGCGAAGGGCATACAAGTCCTGTAATATAATATATAGTACATACGAGTGTGCGTTTGTCTTGCAGGTCTTCCTAAACTCCCCCGAGAGCGTGCCGCTCACAACTGGTAATTACATACTGGTCCCTAATGGGGACGAGGTTGTGGTTAGTGTGCTGCCCAATTACGTCGTGTCCACGGATAATTTACACGAAATTAGTCCAGAGAAGTAAGTAAACATATACACATGTGTATGTATATAGGAGTATATACTCGTATGTATGTATACAAGGGTGTGGGCAGGGGATAAATTTTCCCATATAAAGTCGACCACACGTTCATTATTATGACGCACTATTTCGGCTTAAAATGGATCTGAGTTGGATTTGTGGAAGTTTTTTCTTTGAACATATGCATAAGTTAAGTTAAATGCATCGTGCATTATTTAATCAACATTTTAATTTTTTGGCCCCCCCTTTGGTAAAAGCTGCCTACGCCCTTGTATGTATATTCCATATTCCATGTACATTGCTTATTCCTTTCATGCCAGGCGACAATGCTTTTTTGATGACGAACGTGCCTTGCGCTTCTTCCGGTCCTACTCGCAAAACAATTGCCAAACTGAATGCTTAGCCAACTTTACGGTAGCGAAGTGTGGATGTGCCAAATTCTGGATGCCCAGTAAATATTATTTAATTATACTTACTTAAGCAGTTGCCCCAAAACTGATGAATAGGCAACAGCCCCTTAAATTAATTGCTAACACTTGAATTCATGATTTGTATTTGAATTAACAGAGCCCCTAGATGTGCCCGTTTGTGGATTAGACGACATTGCTTGCTATACGGCCGCCCAGGAGGAGCTGAACGTGCTTCTGCAGAACCAGACCATGCAGCAGACAGTCGATCCAAATGCGAAGGTAATGTGCGATTGTATGCCGGCCTGCACCTCGCTGGAGTATAACTTTGAAATCTCGAGGGCGCGCTATGATCTAGCAAAGACCCTGCGTGCCTTCAGAGAGGTCTACGAGCACGATGAGTAAGTTGGCAATATCTAGTCCAGCCAGTCTCCATTTAATTTTGGTTGAATGATGCCATCCTTGCAGTTCCATTGGCTCCCGTCTGTCGGTTTACTTCAAGGAGCACCAGTTCACGGCGATCAAGAGGACCATCATGTTTGGAGTGTCCACTCTAATATCTAATTGTGGAGGCATCTTTGGCCTGTTCATGGGCATCTCCAGCCTGAGCTTCATTGAGCTCGTCTACTTCTTCTCCATGCGCATCTGCAGCAGCTGGAGGCAGCGACGTAAGGCCAAGAAGCAAATACTAATTCAGGAGGAGTAGTCAGGGGGCAAGGAGTATGTTGAAGTTGTTGGTGTTTTTGTTGTTGTTGGCAGTAAATGTGTGGCAATTAAACAAAACAACAATGTTGGAATGTCTTTCTTTCTTTATAATTATTTACAAGGATGGCTTAACTGCACCTTATATAACGCTTCGACATTTACATAGCTCTGTATACATGTATAACGCATAATTTTAAAATATATTTATAGAACGTATGTATGTATTTATGTATGTATGTGTTCTGCATACTTCTACAAATCATCTTTGTTTATATTGTTAAACAAACGTTAGCAAACAGTAGTTGAAAGTAGTTTTAACTTTACATATACATACAAATATTATTGTTCGTTCATCGATAGAATTTGTTTTGGTTTGTTTGTTTTGTTTTTTCATTTTCTGTATACACAAATATATAACAAAAAGGGCGTAAAAGACAATTAGTTATGCAAATGTGTACAAAGATTAGGTAGTACATATATATATATATATATATATATATATATATATATATATATATATATATATATATATATATATATATATATATATATATATATATATATATATGTGTTTTATTTAATTAAACACGACTGGTTTCAATTTCGACTAACGGCGGCAATCGTTACTTTTTTATACAAATACAAGTACTTTGTTTAATTATTAGCTGCGATTTGTGCAAATCATGAGCACGTTTTGCAGCAAAAAGCCACATAGGTTTGCCTATATAGTATTGTATGCATTGATGATTTTTAGAGCGATTTAGTTCTGGTCTTAGAAGAAAGACAAATATGGTCACAGGCACCCACAGTATCGAAAATCGTGAATACTGATCGTTAAAGAAGAGCATTTGAACCGTTCGAGTGAGTGCTAGCGATTTTAAGGACTCCAGCTAACGATATTCAAGCGTCGTATTCACGTAGTTGTGTGTAAAGTAGCCTTGCATATGCTTAAGTTTTAGGTTAGCGTTATTAACTCTTTACATTTATGCAACATTTAAAATTACAATACTTTCAATTTTGTTTAATTTTTAATTTTTTTTTATTATAAGACATTTCATTGTAATGCTTGTTAGTTAGTAGCTCATGTTTAGTATCAGGTTCATGCAGCTGTTGACGTGTTGAACGATTCAGGCCTAACTCAACCATTTTGGGCAGTTAATTGCGACAGCATTTACACATTAATTAGTTCATGAAATTTAACTAGTTTCTTCATTAAATTTTAATATGTGGTAAGTATGTTAATCACTTGTAGTATTTACCGATGAGCATAAAAGATCTGATTGTAAAACACATCCAAAACAAACTAAACTCAATTGCTTATGGTATTATATTTAGGTTCTGAAACAAATTGTGGTTTTCATTTGTTTTATTATACACAGTGTATTATAATTTATCTATGCATGTATGTATGTGTTGTTTAAAACACTCTTTCATCTTTCACCATTTCATACGGGGACAAAGCACAGTAATGGATTATAAACACAAATAATGGAAATACTGTTTAAAACTTAAGCAAAACAAAAGCAAACTAAGAACTTTATATAGAACGTTAAAAAAAAGAATACAATTTTGTGTATATTTTGCATGCTTTTGTAAAGAAAAACAGCGTTGGGAATAATTTATGAAATATGTATGTTAGCTACTTGAACGCGCATATTGGTTTGTTTACTTTTTCTTTTGATTTTATGGAAGTAAGTTGAGCTTGAACGGGATTCTGTAACGCGTAACATAAATAACAACAATAATTATATAACAATGACTAAAATTATTTAAAGTAAACTATTCATTTTCATTTTCGTGTAATTTTGTGTGTGGCAACTGTTTCTCATTATTTATATCGTATGTTTGTTTTTGTATATAGTATAGGGATGTATGATTTGCTAAGTCTGTAAATTAGGATTGGGCGGTAGTTTCTCTGATTTAGTTTTCTTGTTGTTTCTCTTTGCACGTAGTAGTTGTATGTCTGTGGCTCTGTTTGGGTATGTGTGTATGTGTGTGTGTGTGTGTGGGCGGCTGTGTGTGCAGTGCAAAGGCTTCGTGGCTTAGCCCTCTTAGATCTTCGCCTGCTCAACCATATCGATGTTCACCTTATAGAACACATAGGGAAAGTATTCGGACTGGCCAAAGCCCAGGCCGGGTATTTCCACATTCTAGAAAGACATCAGCATTATATAGACGTTGAAAAAGATCATTTATTTATGATTATATTTACATCAGCACTGCTCGCATGTCCACCAGCGGAGGCGCCATCCAAATGGCCATATAGTTGATTCAGCACATCGCGCAACCGTTTCACGCTCTTCTTATTGGGCTCTATCAATATTGCCTGGAAGTTTACTGGCAAGCCGTACCTATCGAGCAATTGGAAAAGATAAAAATCTGCGTTACACAGAAAAATTCAAGCGGCTCTCAACATTAAATATGTTCAAAACTAGTATAACCATTTTGCGCATTTTTTGAATTAAACATTTCTTTCAGAATAGGCTTCTTGTGTCATACAAGAAAAGTTACGAAGTGGAACCTCGAAATAATCATGTTTACCATATAAATCAATTCTTATCAGAACCTTTCTCAGACAAATTATCGGTACTTATCAAATAGAAATTTGGGAAATGAACGATACGTTTCCGTATGATTATTTGTGAGGCTTAAAGGAGCATTTTACAAATGTCAACTTGAAGAGATGAAGTAATTCCACTTCGTTTATAAAAGTGTGAGTCAAATACAAGTATATTAAGTATACATAAGTAGACAGGTATAGTACAAGTTTATATACGCCCCCTATGAACTCTTCAACATATAATTTTAGCTATATCGACGGGAACTCACCTCAGCACAGACTCGACAAAGACGCGTAAGGCTTTCACGTGGATCAAGGCGCAGAATGCTTCGCTGAAGTTCACTTTTAGCCAACGCACAAGGGGACCCTGTAATAAAAGCCATCGAATTTATCATTAATTCCGTTAGCAAAGTCCCCGTATAGATCTATTTACAAATTGCTTCTTCTTGTCCGTCATCAGCTTGGTCATTTCGTTCTTGCCAGCAGCCAGTTCCTCCTCGTTGTAGACAAAGTCACGAACGATGAACTTACGCTCGCGCGCATGCATCTTGAACTCCTCGGCCACCTTTTTGAAGAGCGTCACATTGAACAGACAGTAGTCGGAGTCCTCCTGTATGAGCTGCGAGGAACGCGGTACGATCATATCGGTGATCTTTTCATAGTTGGTCATCCAGTCATTTGCCATAGGCCTTTGAATAGGCATCGGTAATACATCAAATTTGATAAAAGTTAAGTGTATTTTAATTAAACACATACTTGGGCACGATGACCAACAACGTGGTCAAATATTCAGAGTCCAGTATGAAGTGCTCCTTCTTGACCAGATCAGCCAGATTGCGCGTCAGCAAGCTGCCACTGTAAAGTAAATATAAATAAATATGCAATATACAAGTAAAATAAAACGAATCATTCGAATCATACACTTACGTTTTCTTCTTTTCCAAGTTCTGCAGGTTACCCTTCAAATTGTTGTACGCTTGCGATTTCGTTTTCAAATCAGCATCGATCTGACCGATCTGCTTCGAAATAATATCGGCTATGTTGCGTAGCGATTGCTTAATTGGATATTTGGCCATGTCCCATTGGAAACGCGTTAGGTATTGCGGCAATTCAGCTGCATTGGGGAAATGTGAAAGCAAATGAATACAAATTTGGAACTGGATCGGTTTAAAGATACTTATGGATTATTACAAATTAATATAAACGCAAGATTAAGGCTATAATTTGGCAATACAAATCGATTATATATTAAAAGAAAAGTTTTCATTTTAACTAAAACTAAAGGAAAGAAAGGAATAAAAGAAACTCTTGCTATAATGCAATATATACGACATACAGACACACACCCTTATACACACATACACACACACAAACGAATAAAAGCGCAAAGCTGCATTGCAATTATTTACACTACTTTATAAACACACACTTAACAGTTAGTAGGTGATTTATAAAAAGCTAAACAGCAAGGCATTGTGATTGGTTATTATTATTTTAATTGCGATTTAATATTCAATAAATCAGCTTACTATATGTATGTATATTTACTATACGTTTTAAGTCTCGTCATACATACATATATAAAAATTAAACGATTCTGAAAAGCATTAAATCACTCAATTCTACCCATAATCAAATTTTATATCCTGTACGCGAAATGTGATGTGAAATTGTACGTAAGCATCCCCAACCCTATAAAGTACATATATCATTCAATCATTCTAAACATATCCGTTCATTCATCTGTTTGTCAGAACGCCTGGATTTCTGAACCGGCGAAGCCCAAATTAACTCTACTTTTATTCCAACTTCCAAATTCAAATCGGTTAGTCCTGACAAATGAATTTTTATAAGAAAGCAGAAGAAAACATATCCCGACCAATAATCTATGTACATACAAGTATATTCTTAATCAACTTGACGAGAAAAATCTATCTGGATAGTCCTTCCGTCTTTATGAACGCTTGGTTTTAGAAACGGCGGAACCCGTCTTGACCAAACTTGTAGGTTCTTCGAGTCCCTATGCAACACGTGTTTGGTATTTTTTTTATATTTTTAGTGAATCGGAAAAAGTCCTGTTATGAATTCCTGCAGTAGTAATACAGTAGTAATACAAATAATAGTTTGTGATATGATTATTTAAATGAAACGAAAGTAGAGCACAACTACATAGATGAATGGGTGTGCCGCTCTAAATGGGGGAGAACTTCGAGCTAGGTGGGTGCAAAAAAGGATTTCTTTTGAGGGATAGTGCACAAACATTTACTTACAAGGAATAACGAATACCCGTTCGTTTAACATTTGTGTTACGGCACAAAAAAACGTAGCATAGTTTTAAATGGCATAATACTGGTAAGCCTCTTATACTCTTGAGGGCAAATCATAATTAATTAAAATGAAAAATGTTCAGTGTGTTGTATTTATTTGGTTGTTGGTGAAAATACATTTGTGGTTTATGACGCAACTTAAAATAAATAATAAACATATAGGATTAAACTAAAGTTTTTTGTTTTCTTGTGTTTGTTTCATGAAATCGGCGTAAGTTATATATAGTATATTTTTCTTTTTTTATATTGCGGAGCGGAACAACATTGGTGAGCAGTACACTGAAAAAACAACGTATTCGCTTTTACACTTTTACAAAATAATTTGTGTATTTATATAGGAAACAGAAGAGGTTTTTTTGATACATATGTATTTTTGTTGTTTAAGCTGAAAAATAACTGAAACTTTGAAATTGAGAGAAATGCAATAAAGTATAAGGAGCAGGATAAACAGAGAGAAAGAGAGAGAGAGAAAGCGCAAGAATATAATTTTTGGTGGAAACAAAAATGAATAATACAAAAGGAAGAAGAACTTGTAACTGCACGCTGAACTGTAGGCGGGTTATGTATAACACTTATGTACCGTATAACAGTTGCAACACAGTTCACAAGGCAAACGCATAATTATTTGTAAAAACAATATTCAGTTATTTGTTTTGATTTTTCTTGTTGTAGCAACAAGTAGACGCAAAAAATGTGAAATATAGTTGCACATCAATTCTTCAAGAAAGGAAACGAAACGATAAAAGAAATTAAAAGTGAACCAAAGACGAACGGTAAGAGAGCAAAGGTCAAAGGCAAGGGCCAAACACCCAGGCATGCTAACCTGGACTCAGCGGAAACTCTGGCGGGTCGCCATTATCCGTGTCCGGACTGGAACGCCCCTGGCTACTACTGCCACAACAACTACTCACTGGAGACGATCTATGAGTTGGTGTTAAATTAAATCCATTGTTTATATTTAATTGACTCGTTGTAGAACGTTTGCTATAAATTTGATCGGCAAGAGAATTGAAGAGAGAGCGATAACTAGAGCGCGGTGTGGGCGATGTTTGATGCAGAAATGTCATCGGGTTGCTATGTTTATCGATTTGTGTGCAGGTGCGAGTGCGTTATTTTCGTGTTCCACAATTCCAGTGTATTCAAATAATGAAGTGAATGATACAAATGGATGATCGTGTATGATGGATGATGGGGGGCATCGTGAGTTTATAAAAAAAGAAATACATTATTAGTTTGTTTATGCTCGATAAGTTGTTTTGTTTGCTTAACAAAATAGTGCCCAGTATTTAAAAGTTTGTGTCGAGAATTGATGATTTACCACTGGGCAGTATTGAGCTGAGCATGTGAAGCATTGTGAGCATTTATTGCAATGAGCTGTGAGGCTGGTAAAGCGGATGTATCAGGAATGCGGTGAATGCGGAATTCTCTGTCCTATTTACATTGTATTGGCGAAGACTCTAGCACGCCTGTGAGCGCCAGGTTCGTGCATAGCCCCACGAAATACAGGAACTATGCAACGCCTGGCAATCGGTGCATGACAAAATGGACGGGCTGACGATATGGACATTTGGACATGGCATTTAGCATTTGGCGATTGGTGGTTGGCGGTTAGCGTTTGGCATTGGGTGCGGTGTATTATATTATTAATGTTTGCATTTGACAACTCTCTGGCAGTCGATGGGGATGGTGAATGTGATGCGATAAGGTACCTGCACTTCTTTGAGTTACGCTTTGGCCTATTGAACCACCAGTCGAAGGTCTCGGACAAATCGGAGACGCTGTTGCTGCTTTTGAGCTCAGCGTCTGCGCCCCCTTTGTCTGCCGCCCCGTCCTCATCGTCGCCGGTGGCCGCTGAGCCGCAGAACTTTTGTGTTGGCGACTGCAACGGTGGCGGCGACATCGTTGCCGGACTCTGCTGCTGATGTGGATGCGGATGCATGGGCAGATTCAATTGACTCACGTGGCTGTTGCTGCGAAAGCTCAGCTTGTTATTGTTTATGCTGCAAGTGTTGTTATTCAGCTTTTTGCTGTTAGAGCGCGACATGCTGTGCACAGAGCTGCTGGTCGTAGGCGCCGACGTCGAGAAGTAGGCCGACGACGAGCAGAGTGTGGAGGCGGAGCTGTTCTTAGCGGGAGCAGGCGTGGAAGCAGCTGTAGTAGAAGCTGCAGCGGCTGCGGCAGCGGCGCTTGTGCTGGCGCCGCCCATGCTGCCAGTGGCAATGGCGGCCACCGTGGAGATGGCGCTACGCGTGGCATTTAGCATGGAGGAAGCGGTCTGGGAATAGCACTCGTCGGCCACTAGCGTGCTGGCCGTGGCACTGGTGCTGGGAGGCGGGAATACACTGCTGCCAGCGGCATAGCAATCGTCACAGGCACAAGCTGGAGCTATCACATAATCAAATTCCCGTTCCAGCTCATCGTTCGATGTGGAGAGGTTGTTCAGGCTGCCGCCGCTGACGGGGCAGGTCGGGCAGGCGGTCGTGACTGCTATTGCATGGTAGGTGTGAGTAGTAGTAGAGGTGGTAGTAGCGGTAGCTCGACTATGTGTGAGATTTGAGGATTTACCCTTTAGATCCGTGGGCAACTGGCGATGATGGTTATGATGGTAGCTCAGGGGATTGTTCTGATGGTGGGTATGCTGGTGTTTGCGATGGTGCCGCAGGCTGAGATGCTTCAGACGCTGATGGTGTCGACACGGCATGCTGTCATCGGGTGGACCTGGACCTGGGATGCGCGCGAACAGTTTATTGATGGGTATACGGGATTGCGGAATTGTCGCACGGTGCAGACAATATAATTAGGTTTCGATCGTTGATGTCATTGTTGGTTGTCGTTTGTTGATTGGACGCAATTAGAAATCATAATTTTTAGGCAAAACTATAGCATACTTTTCGTAGCTAATTCCATCAATTTATTTACTTTAGTCGGCTTAAATTCTCAATAGGAAAAAACGAGTATAGTCCTGCAAAAATCTTGAGCCTCAATGCTAAATTTCGTACAAAAACTAAGGCCAAACAAAACAACAACAAAAAATATCGTACATAAAATAAGTAAATTAAAAAGAAATTGAAAATTCAAACTCATGTGTGTGCTTCAATTGAAGAATTAGAAGTTTAAACATATACATAAAACCAAAATTGCGATTTATAAGTATATAAGTATGTATAAAAAACTAAAGAATTGTTTCATGAACAACAGTGGAATAATGTTGTAATTAATTATTGTATGATGGTGGCATAATTTTGAATATATTTGTACTTTTTACAGTGTAAAAGCGTTACATTGTCTTTCAATTACATTTTTGTTTTTCATTTCTTTTCCGTACCAATTTTCTGATTGTAGTTGATGCTAAAAAGCGAAAGTTAAGTATGAAAGCATAGGACAGGTGACACACACATACACACACACACACACACAAACACACACCCACACAGCCATACTCACAACCGCACATCGAGGTGTGCGTCAAATAAAATCAAAATCATTCCATGGACAAAATGTGCAAGTGTGTGTCTTAGGCTTAAAATGAAAAGAATATGGGAGCGTGCACGCACTCGCACACACAAATATATATACACACACGTACATATATATATATATACGCATACATAACAACGATAACAAACATGAAGTTCGGACGCACACTTTTAAATTATATATAACTAAATATACAAAAAAGAAGTTAACTAAGAACTAAACAAAGAAACTAAAAAGCTGCAAAAAATTCACATGAAAAAGGAAAGGCCACGCGCATGGAAGCAACAAAGGAGTTAAATTTTATATGCACACAATGATAATAATATTTGTGGCATTGCTTAAAATGTTTTCGTGGAAATAGTTCAAATCTAATATTATTATCCATCTTGAAGCGTAACAGTTTCTTTTTTGTTTTTTTTTTTTTTTAATTTCTGTTTTTTCTGCTTGGTGAATGATTTAAAAACTAATGGGCTTTCATTGACGGAAAACCACACCACGAATTTTGCGTTAAATTTGGTTGAAAGTAATAAACAAATAAAACAAAATGTACAACAATATTTAAGTAAGTTTTGTAAAATATACAAAGTGTTGGGTGCTTCTACTCAGTGGGTAGTGAAAGGGAGAGGGACTAAGACTTCCAAAAAGCCAAATTATCAGATAGTTGAAATGAAAATTATGTTTGTGCAGTTACTTTAAAATGAACATAATATTGTAGTTCTAGAAGCATAGGAATTGCCACCGCGGGTCTTTAGGTGTGCGTGTGTGAGTTTGTATTCTTTGTGTGTGTGTTCAAGAGTAAATATATACTTGTGGGTTGGTAGCATGTATTATACGAGTATGTATGTATGCATGTGTGTTTGTAGATGGTTAAGAGAATTTACATCAAACGCAACACAAAATAATCAACGCAATTGTTATTTAATTTTTCTTTTGCACTTTAATTCCATTGTTGTATTGTGACACTAAGGAACATTGATCAACTTTTTACTTTTTCATATTGATTTTGATGATTGTGCGCATGAGCTTAGAACGTAAATCAAAAACAAGAAACAAATGAAACCAAAAACAAAACAAAGAAATAATAAACAAGATAGAACGCTACAGTCGAGCAAGCCCGACAGTAAAATAGCCTGTACTCTCCACAAAAAAAGAAAAATTAAAAAAAAAAAGTTTAAAAAAAAAATTAAATTATTAAAAAAAATTAATGAATTAATTAATTAAATTAAATTAGAATATATGTTTATGTTTAGTTTTAACAGCATACATTTACATCACGTACCTATGCGTGTTTATATGCGTGTATGTATGCAGCACAAAGTTGAACCAAAGCAGCAACAACAACAACAGCTGCGGGCAGCGCTGCCGACAGAGGCAGCGCATGAGCAGCGATTTTACTTATGGCTATAACTTTCTTCAGAATTGACCTATCATGATGAAATTTGGCACACGGACACATTAGTACTAACTGGATGTACCTACCAAAATTGATTTCAAAATTCCGAGAATTACGGAAGTTATAAGAAAAAACACGAATTGCGGGGGAGTGGGGGGGTGCATCGAAAAAAAACTCAAACTCGTACTTTCTCGGTCTTAGGAGAATATGGAAACCAAGTTTGGTTATTCTAGCTCTTATACTTTCTGAGATCCTTGCGTTCATACGGACAGACGGACAGACGGACAGACGGACAGACGGACAGACAGACGGACAGACGGACGGACGGACGGACAAGGCTATATCGACTCGGCTTCTCATCCTGATCAAGAATATATATACTTTGTGGGGTCTGCCACGCCTCCTTCTGTGTGTTACATACATGCGCACAAAACTAGTATAGCCTTTCACCCTTTGGGTACAGGCTATAAAAACTTAAATTTGAAGTAAAATTAAATAATTGGAACAACTAATCCAAAAAACAAAATAAAAGCCTCATGTTTTCAGCTGAAAATCGATTAGTTTTTAAATCTGTTTGATACTGAAAAACGAATCTATTATACGAGCATGTATATGTACTATATATATATATATATTTATATATATATATGTTATATACTATATATAAATATATATATTGTGGCAAAACTATATGTAATTATGTACGCTGCACGCTTTGTGTTAGTCAATTTAAATTCTCAAGAGACATTACATATCAAATAAAAAACATTCCATATTTAAGGTATTGTTTGTTGAGCATCATCCTTGAAAACGTTCAGGGATAGGACGGGATCACAATATACGTTTTTGTGTTTTCATTGTTAGTATAACATAGTATAATATAGTCAATATATGTAGTTGTATGTAGGGGTTGGGTTGAATTGGTAAATATAAATATTTTGTGTTCGTGTATATCAGAGCATTCCGTAATATATATGTAGAAAAACTGCTTAGAAATAACAAAAAACCAAAAACCTAACCACGCTCGAAAGCCTGGAATTGGCCTCCATTTAAACTAAGCTAAGAAAGAGCCACGGCAAAGGAAAAAGAAAATCGGAAACTTACTGTTGTTGGCCAACAAATTTTCGTGCAGCTTGTCGCGTTGATCCTCCAGCACCTCGCCCAAGTAGTTGGCCACCTTGCGTGTAATTTGCTCCACATACGTATCCAATTTTCCTAGATCATCGGATAGGCCAACCAGCTGATCCAACGTGCCGACCTATTATAGATAGATATAAGCGTCAGTATATAATGCTTTTGGGAAGCGAAAATTTACTTGCCCACCTTTAGATCGGGTATATGGAACTTATAGTTATTGCACAGGTTGTGTTGCTTGCTGGTGAGATTGTTCATCGTGTCGAACGTTTGTTGGCACGTCTTGTCGCCAGGCGCTGAGATAATCCAATATTCGGACATCATTTTAATAGCTGTCCAGGGAAAAATAGAGATAGAGGAAGCATAGCGATTAATATCAATTATCCAGTAGAATACAAATCGATTGTCGAATACGCCATTGAGTTTTTGCCAAGAGACAGTGTCATTGAGTTATTTATATAGCATGTCCTTGAACCACAAACTTTCGATTTACTGCTGACCACTACACACGCTTTGTTTTTATTATTTTTGTAATGAAAATTTAATTATGCTCTGGCCAGCTAGATATATGCACATATTGTTGAAATATTTAGATCCATTGTCCAGTTGGCGGTCCGGCCAGGGACGGGGCCATAGCTCCCGCAGACAGTAGAGTGCAGATAATTGGCGCCAGACCGACCTCATTCGAATGGGTGCCACATTGTCTACTACACTGTCGGACTGGCTGGCTGCATGACCGACCAACTGACTGACATTGATTTTTGTAATGATAACGTAATTAATAATACAAGTACATGCTTCTAAAATGCTTACACTCTTTCCTAACACTCTTTGCGTTTCAGTAAAATAGTTAAAAGCTTTTCGATCCGACTCCGCTGAACCATTCTAGACATATCTTTGCACTTTTAATTTCCACAGTCCACAATTTTTATGAAATTTTACATTTCGTTTTTAGCTGCCAAGCTCCGTGCGCTCTCGTCAAAGGCTGGACGCGTAATGTCTACTCTGTCGCCATTCGCCACTTGCCATATGGTGTCGAGACCCAAAGACCGAGCGCTTCGAATCGATGACGAAGCAACATCACGCAAACCGCCTCTTCAATTTGTACATACACGTATGTGTGTGCCTCTCTGTGTGTGTGTGTGTATACAAGAATGTGTTTGTGTGTGTGATTTGCTTTGGTCCTGCACACCACTGCGTATGAGTAATCGCTCGACAAAAGCCACAAGAAGATACAAATCTAACTTTGCTCAATTTCATTTAAGTAGTAGCTAACTATTATTACATAACGTCATTGTGGCCTCCAAATAAAAAATATATACATATATAAGGAGTAGAAGGGAAGTGGTAACGAAAACAAAATGATAACGCGACCACCCCCAACAACATTCACAACATTCAAGGCAGTGCATTGTCCTCGGCCAGGAAGCGTGGCAACAGACAACGCATGTTGTTACTAATAACAACAACAACAACAACACAACACCACCAACGAATGCGTCTATTTTTAGCATGGGAATCTAAATTGCTTTCTGTGCGAATGGGGCGGGGAAAACTAAGGGAAATTTATGCTCTAATGCTTTGTGTGTACATAGTATGTATGGCACGCTGGGCCCTCTACACTGATAGAAAACCCGGGATCTAAAATCGGGAAAAAGTGGAATGCACGCGATTTTTACAAAACAATAATTTTTAAAGAAGACTTCAACCCAAATCCATATCTCTAAGCTGCAGACGAAAACTGCTAGACTCAAGGTGAAAAAAAACCCCAACGTCTTAGACTCATTCGAAAATTAACTGATCAATTTAAAGGTAGCGGAACAGGATATTATTATTGAAAATTAAAAATTTGTTTTTAGTAGTGTAGAATCTAATGAACTAGCGAGGGGGAAATATTGTTAGTCTTTTTACGTTTCTTGTTTAGATAACCCGCTCGAACGCCTGTCAAACCTTAATTCAGAGCATAGAGCAAGCGTAAATGATGTTGACAGTGGAAAATGTAGGGGAAACATGTCGCCAGCCCACTGGAGACAGTCAGACTGGCCAACTGCTGTTGCTAATGAAATGGTCAGAGGAAGGGGGCATCAGCACACAGGAAATTGCAGCGTGCACAACCAAACAATGGCAAAAAAGAAGAAGAAAAACAACAAAACAAAATAAGCAACATTGGCGTCTTTGTCAGTGTCGTCGGCCGATGACTGTGATGATGTTAATGGCGCAAATACACCCCACCCCACCAAACGGCCCTGTGGGTGTGCTCCCAAATTAATTAATAATAATGTGCTTCGCTATTGTTGTCGCTGCTGTTATTCTTGTGGTTCTTGCTCCTGCTGCTGCTGCTGGGGTAAGGAGGAGGTGCGTTTGTTTATAAAGGAGGAAAATAGCGCTCGCTCTGTTTTCGTCATGTGAGACTTAGCAGCTGTTGTTGCCCCGAGGATATCTGAACAGATATACACATGCATATGTATATAGGTACATACATATGTACACATGTATGTATATAACTGACGGAAGTGACAGACCGACAAAAGACCAACACCCACTCCTGCACTTATACGCACACATGCGCCGCAACTTGACATTTTTGTTTCATTGGCTACCCAAATATGAACATGTTTGACTTTGCGTTTCAAGTTTATATCTGGTCAAGGCAGTCAAGGTCCTTGTGGCACGCAATACAACTATTTATCGTTGTCCTTGTAACAGCTGTGTAGCCTATTCATCTATATACATATATCTGTAGTATATACATACATATATACAGTCAGTTGGTGGACACATGTTTTTGAATAGCCTGCGGCCCGTGTGCGGCAACAAAATGTTTAGTATATGTAGATCATGAACATGCAATATTAGTGCGCGTGGTTTAATTTATGTTAAAACCTCTAATGATATATTATCTAGAACTTAGTGCTGGCACGCAAGATTTTTTAAAGAAAAAGAAAAAAGCAATTGTCAATGAACCTTCTCTCAAATTCTCTCTTAAACTGCTGGCCGAACAATGGAGGCAAGCCGCTGTTTTAATTTGAACGGACACTGGCCTAATACAGTTTTGACAATTTGTTTATGCAGAGCAGTCGGCAACTGCAAGTGCCTCTCTTTCTCTGAGAGCAATGCTTTAAAATTCACCACATCGACACACAAGCATGGTGAATTTAGGGAGGCATGTCAGCTGTTCGTTGACAGTCACATGACAGTTTTTCGATCGATATTTTTCTGCTCACGGGTTTGCAAATTAAAAACAAATCCACAAAATATCACATATTAGCGCATATTTTTAACTATCTCCTGCCCACAGGTTCTACACATTTTTTTGCATGTCTTACGCCAAATCAATACGTTGGTTGTTACCAGAAGAATTTCCGTTAAATTGCTTGCAAACCAGGCCTATCGCACAATTTTCAGGGTCATTTAATTCACAGATATACCGAGTCGAATACTTTACGTTTAAAGGCAATTATTTGATTCCACACTTTCACAGCTCTTATTTTTGCACTGTTGTACTAATATAGGAATTTGCACAACTCTTTAGGTGGTCAGCAGACCTGAGCTGATAAAAATTTGTTTTTTTCTTATGCACGTACGTAGGTAATGCGTCGACTTCGGGCGCGATGGGAGGGCTTGGACACTTACGTTAGAACGGCACTGCACACGTCAATTTACAGATGGAGAAGACACTACTATGGATTTTGTGCGTTTGAAAAATTATGGTTAATTTTTCCTACGTTTTCTCTGCTCAAAATCAATTGACGACCGCCGCCACAAAATACGCGTACGAACGAACCAAAAGACTCTTCTGATTGGAAATTCAACACAGAAAGTGACAATTCACAATTGAACGTGAGATTCACGTGATAAGTTCAGTGCTGGTAAGCGCAACCCGTACGAACAGCTGTTTCGGTTTTTTGCAATGCACAGCACTGGTCCCAGTAGCAAAAGGAATTACAATAGGACTAGTTGCTAGTTGAGTTTATCTAAATTATTTATATTTTTAATATTATTTCGGCATATTTAGAGCACGATTAAAATTGTAAGTGAATGCTGTGCATATTGGCAGTTCGCACGTGCATGTGCTTATAACAGTTTATGTATAATAACGCCGCTCCTTCCGGCTGCTGATGTAACGGGCGTCACGAAGGTTGGCCCCAAAAGTGTTGTGTGCAAATTATTAATAAATGGGTGTCGGTGTGAACGTTTTTGTCTAATCATGTAAGTGATTCAAGTAGAATATGATATAGTGATAGTCCAAGCTCATGTACTTTATACTGTTCTCTCAATACCCCTAAGACTACCCAGACACCTTAGCCTGCAAAGTAGAGCCACTTTCACCTTTGAATAGGCTTGAAGTGCAACCGGAACCCTTAACGGAGTAAATACGGGCACTTTGTCAAATTGGATGTGGTTGAGAATTTTCACACATGTTAGTTTTTTGTTGATTAAACTTTAACCTCCCGCAAATTCCTTTGTGTTGCTGACCCATTTTTCTTAGAATTGCAAAGCTAAACGTTTAGATAACCATACAATGGCCTAACTTTGGAGAACCAAAGTGTTTACATATTTTTTCACAATTTCTAAAAATAAAGGTGTTTGCTGGTCGTGCTCATAGAAATTTCCAAACATTCGTATTGTATAAACAATGGCTATAGATTTCCATAACTTTGCCAGTTGAACCTTAACCCCTCGCAGCGCGCTCGTCAATTGAGAATGCCATTAAAATAAATGTGTATGCATGCATAAACGGAAATCGCTTTGACCACTTGGCGGCGCGCCACAAACCTAAATAAAGCTTATCAGAGTGCGCACTAATTGAACGATCGTCAAAGCCCAGACCTTTATTGATCTTATCTAGCGACGCCCCCGGTAACACTACTTCGGGCACGTTTCTCTCAAAAAATACTTGAGCTAATGAGAATTGGAGGAATCCGAGCTAATAATTAATTTTGGCTAATAAATTCACATGTCTGAACAATTCTCGAGCTAAGTGAGTGCTGAGAGAATTGTTTAGCTTGGAGCTGCGCAGTTGCAGTCGCTGTCAGCGTCAGCGTCAACTGCGTCTTCGGTGGCGCTCATATGGCGCTGCGGTGAGCTATGAGCCGACAGTCTGTCAAGAGATTTGTTGGAGTGTGTTACCCGTCGTCGCACGTAAAAAAAGTCGTGAAACATTCGAAATCGAAATTTAGGCAATCAAGCCAAAAAGTGAAAACACCACATACATACATAAATACAAACATACCATTTACCTACAAATACGCCAAGTTCGTTTTCTATTGGCAGGTGCTAAGACAAACGGTAAATATGCGTCGATTGTCCACAAACGCGCGACCAGATCTGTTATCAGTTATACAATATTGAGCACATTCGAAATACCCGTTAGTGGCGACCTACATCCATACATAGGCCTAAAGCCGAGAAGTCGTTGCGCATGCCCAACTGACCACGCTCTCAACCTGTCGCACAGCATGCTGACATCGATCGAGCATCATAAAATAAACGCTTCACTTGTGGCCTGCCCCTGCCCCATAAAGCGAAAACAGAGATGTTAACGTAAATATTTGGGTTGGTCTGCTTAAGTCAGACGCCCGCCCGACAATCGACATTTGCCTTTTGCTTTTTGTACATAAATACAGCAAAAGTCTGCTATAGTGAACGGGGCTTAACCCGATATATATGAAGGTATTAGATATGGGCAAGGGAATAATGAGTATATTTAAAAGCGGACTTTAAAAAGTAGCATTGTATTCTAAAAAAAGCATATGTGTATTGTATTATTTTCCTCTTCGATAGTATTAGAGTTCTATTTTGTTACACTGCGAACAATTATTAAAGGTCATTAGGAAAGCAAAGTAGTAAGTTCGTAAAGAGCTTTGTTTAGTGACATCATTATAAACTAAACAACATTTAATTAATATTACATAATGCTTTTTTCTATAGCTGTTTCGTCAGTAAAAATAAAAGCATACTGCTCTTGTGCTAACTGACTTATATAACTTAGATGTATACCGTTTTCAATAATACATAAATATTATTGAATCTATGATATTTTCTTGTTTCATTTTAGTTAACATTTAAAATTAAGAGCGTTACTTTTCAAGATTTTCTTTATTAGTGGAAAAAACTTCACATCTTAGATAATTGAAGAAGGTGTAGACGTTTTATATTTGTCTTTAGTTAGATTAAATATAGAAATGATTGGATTTATGATGATATTTATTTATGATATTGGATTGATGAAATGGAATCCAACTAAAGACAATATAATAAAATGGGAGTGTTTGAGAATTAAATTATACGATTCTTTTAAACAATCCTTTCGCTTTTTCCGTATTAAACGCATGGCGAGTAAATGGAACGTGCACTGTACTTGTCTTGGCTGCTTTGTGTTCTCTTTGTATGAAGTTCGGCTGTAAGAGAAAGTTTCTTCAACTGATTTTTAGTATTTCTGATTGTTGCTGCGATGATTATTATGGCCATGGTCGCTTCTTCGCTCGCGTTCAAAATTGAAATCTACAGGGTCTTAGTAAATTGGACAGCACCGCGAAGGGAACTGAATGGGCCCCTTTGGGCCATGCCACTGTACCTGCCACCGATTTGAGAGCTGGCGCTTCTTGTGGCTTCTGCGCCGACGTTGACTTAGCCGTGTTTACATGCATGCGTCTTCAGTTCACTACAACGCGCTCTTCAATACACACGGTCAAAGTCGCTCGAGCATGCAACAAGTGGTTTTTAGTTTTACTTACGTCGTCGCTGATTTCCAAACCAATTTGTAGCGCTTAAAACACTTCAGACGCTCGAGCGTCACAATTTACAAGTCGGCTTTAAAACTTTTTTCTGAACCCGCAGAATACTCGTATTAAGAGGTGAAAGTTTTAACGTACATGCGATTGAACCATTAGCATTATGTGTAGAGTGTGCGCACGTTTAATGTTCCCGTACTGATTACCACTCTGCTTACTTTATTTCAGCGCTCAGGACTCTTACCAAAACAGCAGTGACCTCTAGAACGCAATGACAACGAAGTGGCCAGAAAACGTTGGCATTCGCGCCATTGAAGTGCTCTTCCCCTCACAATATGTGGACCAAACAGAGCTGGAACAATTCGACGGCGCCTCGGCTGGCAAGTACACGATTGGTCTGGGACAGGCCAAGATGGGCTTTTGCTCGGACCGCGAGGATGTCAATTCCCTATGTTTGACGGTGGTAAGCCGCTTGCTGGAGCGGCATCACATCAAACACACGGAGATCGGGCGCCTGGAAGTGGGCACCGAAACAATTGTGGATAAATCCAAGTCCGTGAAATCTGTTCTCATGCAGTTGTTTGCCGAGAGCGGGAACACGGATATCGAAGGCATTGATACCACAAACGCCTGTTATGGCGGAACGGCCGCTCTTTTCAATGCCATCAATTGGATCGAGTCGTCTAGCTGGGATGGACGCTACGCTTTGGCCGTGTGTGCCGATATTGCGGTCTATGCAAAGGGAGCGGCACGTCCTACGGGTGGGGCTGGCGCCATTGCTATGCTGGTGGCACCCAATGCGCCGCTGGTCTTTGAACGGGGACTGCGTGCCACACATATGGAGCATGCCTACGACTTTTACAAGCCCGATCTAAGCTCCGAGTACCCTACGGTTGACGGCAAGCTATCCATACAGTGCTACTTGTCGGCTTTGGACACCTGCTATCGCCTGTACCGCAAGAAGTTCGAAAAGCTGCAGCCAAACTCGCCGCAAATCGGTTTGGAAAGCTTTGATGCGCTGCTCTTTCACACGCCGTTCTGCAAGCTCGTCCAGAAATCCGTGGGTCGACTCAGCTTCAACGATTTTCTGTTGACCAGCGAGGAGAAGCGCGCCAACAAGTTTTCCGGGCTGGAACGCTTTAACAATGCCACTTTGGAGAGCACCTACTTTGATAGGGACGTAGAGAAGGCTTTTCTGACGCAGTCGGCCGAAGTGTTTGAGGCCAAGACGAAAAAATCGTTACTGTTAGCCAACCAGGTGGGAAACATGTACACGCCTTCCGTCTACTCGGGGCTTGTATCGTTATTAATAAGCGTGCCTGCTGCCGACCTGGTGGGCAAACGTATTGGCGTCTTCTCCTATGGCTCCGGTCTCGCTGCCTCCATGTACTCCATACGCGTAACGCAAGAGGCGCAGGTGTTTGAGGAGTTTGTGGCTAAGCTGGATTATGTGCTGCCATTGCTGAATTCACGCGAGAAGATTGCGCCCGAACAATTCTCCGAGCTGATGGAGGTGCGCGAGAAGAACAACCATGTGGCGCCCTACACGCCCACTGGCAGCGTGAGTGCGCTCTTCCCGGGAACCTACTATCTCAAGGACGTAGACGCACTGCATAGACGCAGCTACGAACGCACGCCTACCATTAGCAATGGTGTACATTAGAAATGCAGGAATGCAACCAAATTTATTTATCTTCAGGGTCCACACGGTTGGTTCTTATAACTTTTTTGTTACTTTTATTCTTTTGGCAAACTCTACGGGTTATTTAATTGGGCGCAGTATCGAAACTAATTTAAATATGACAATAACGGTTGACTTTATCAATGTAATAGAAAATACTATTTATAACTATGCTGGCGTAGCCTCTAAGGTGTACTTTAACCAAGGCGTTTCTCTTTTGAGAGCGGTCCGACGGTTGGGCGCCGAAATCCTTCACGCTTAATCTAATCAACTTTTTAACGTTTCAATTCTAAATGGACGCCGAAGTATATGCAATAAACACGTACATATTTATTTTATAATGTGCAAATTACGTTTTCATAAAAACCAACTAATATTTATATCATGAATGCACACACAAGGAAATTTCTCATTGTTAAATTCTTTATAGCTAGTGTCAAAAAATAAATATAAAAAAATGTACAATATACCTGTATCTATACCTATACACACACATACATATGTACATGCATAATGTAATATGATAATTGTTTGTAAAGTGGAAAATAAACAAAACTCAAGTGAGTTAAATGTGTTTTGTAAGTGTGTTTAACCAGCGCGTCTAAAAGCATGAGCAGTTCTTAGTTTAAAATGCGTGCTTTATTGTAGTCACAATGCTTTCGTTAGCGTTCCCATAAACACGTCTATTGTATGAATCAGTCAGTTTGTTAATATTGCAATCACGTCCCGTAACGTGATGAAAATGAAATGCCAGTCCGTTTCAAAATTGATCCATTTATTATTTTATTTTTACATGAATTCTTACACACTAGTTTGAAATGCTCACAAATATACTATCTTCATATGTGTGTTTAATGTAGGGCGCCTATTCGAATTTTGAAGATATGAGACTCCCGGCATGTTAATTAATTTGCATTTTGCATTTGTAATCCGATCTAATGCTGGGCCCTTACATTTCTTATAGGGCTGTGAACTTGTAGAAAGTGACACCTGCATGGAAATGATAGGAAGAGAACATTGTTAATGATTGTATAAAATCTTTTTACACACAAGTGTATTATTATTTAAATACCGTTCGGATTGACTCGTGTGGTGAACAGACTGTCAGAGCTGAATAGTCCCAAATTGCTGTCCGAAGCGTAGAGGTCCTGCAAGATATTCAAATAAAGAGATGATCAATACATTTGCCATTGAAGTTGTATTATAATTCTGCAGGGAAATCATGTTCTAAGAAAGCAACACATATTATACCCAATATACGAATTACAAAGATATATATCCTTCGATGATTTATACCACAGCATAGAGTTGTCAAAATTATTACACTCATATTCTAGAAGAAGCAAGTAGAGCTCTAAGGTTTTCCACAGTCCTCTTTAACGAAGTACAGCTATAGCTCATATAGCTCATATCATAATATGAGAATGTTATAAAATGAATCCAGATGTGTGTTGTTTTCTAGATTAGTTCTTAGATATAACGAGAATATCGGTAAAGTCATGCCTAACCAAAGCGTCCTACTGATCTTACTGCCTGTTAAACAAATTTGGTCATTGTTATTTTTACATTGCATGGTTTAACAATATTTAGAGAAAATTTATGTCCATGCCATCTTCATAGAATGGAATGAATGGTACTTATTGATATCATGTTGTAAGTCTTACCTTAACATTATAGCCGTCGACATTGAGTAGACCGAGTTCCTTGAGCTTAAAAGTTATACTATATGGCGCGCCATCTGCCCGACGACTAACAAAAGCAATTGCATAGGAGTATTCCCGTTGCAAAGTTACAGGTGTTATTGGTCTTCGCCAGACCTCAATTTGCTTCTTCATCAATACACGGCGGCCTTGTATACCTAAGGGGTCTTGGTCCACAGCAATAATGTCCCTAAAAAACAAAAGGTATGTAATGATTCTATAATATTTTCATTAGTTTACTAACCGATTTTGTAGAATCTCTTTGATTTCAGGCCGCACAACGGCCAAGTCATTTGACATTATTAGCGGAGCCGCCAACACAGCCCAAATGGCCATTTGCAGCTTGCTTTGATCGTAGCTTAATCCATAGTTGCCCAGTATCAGCATATCGGGATCATTCCAATGACCGGGACCCGCATGCGGTTGTATTCTATCTTGATTTTTGCCAAAGTAATCAATAATCTGCATTACAGACTCAAGTGAATCGTCAATGTCGTTCCAGTTCCGCCACAAGTTGCAGTGCTCCTTAAGGGACTCATAGTCTGGCACCTGCCCCTCTTCTTCCTGATAGGCTGGCCAGCTGCATGAGTACACCATGGGACGACCCGTCCTATTGAGGAGGCGCCCAAATTCTGGATAGCCAGCAGCCATGTCACTGATATTGGCATAACAACCATCCAATTTAACATAGTCAACATCCCAATTCGCAAAAGTTTCTGCATCAAGGGCCATGTGATCAATCACCCCGGGATAGCCGGCGCATGTGTTGGTGCCAAAGTCCTGGTATAGACCGAACTTAAGACCTTTGCCGTGAATCTAAAGGCAGAACGACAAAAAAATTATTTGCGAGCAATTGGATAATATTTATCGGGCATACATGGTCCGCTAATGAGTTTAGACCATTGGGAAAACGTTCCAGATGTGGCACCAGCTTGTTTGTTTTATTGTCGCGATCTTTTTCCAGCCAGCAATCATCTATGATTACATACTCGTAGCCAGCACTCGCATAGCCCTCGGACACCAAAAGATTAGCATGGCGTTTAAACAGTTGTTCACTAAAAAAGCAAGCATAGGTAAAATTTTTAAATTATAAATTATATGAGAATCTCCAGGTATAGTATTTATAGTAGTACAACAATAAACAAGACTACATTTTAGAACCGACCTTATACATTCATCAGGATACTTTTCGCAATCGGTAATACATCTAAAACGCTCCCAGTGCATCCACCCCATCGGTGGGGTACGCGCCAGTCCATTTTCCAGACCCTGAACGCAACTGAGTAGCAGTCCAAATAGTAGACAAGAAAACGGCAATGCCCACGTCTTGTTCATATTAAGCATTGCGAGTGTAATGTGTCCTGCCTGCAATCGAAAGCGGTTTTATATTTACGCTTCGAGTACTTCTGGGACACTTCAGATAACTCTATTTACCGAAACTGCTGTGCAAGCATATAATCAAAGGACAGACGCTTAGGCACACAGCGGCTGCAATCAACTAAAACTGATCGCTCTTAGGGTCAGTGTGTATGGCGACGCTGCGGGTAGTCGGCTTTTAATGTTGTATGCCTGTGCCTGTACCTACTTATCAGTGCCCGCACAGCAGCGGTCTCCAAGTTCACACAACGCCAGTTCTTGATTATCGCAAAAACGTCAGTATTCCAATTGAGGCACTTAAAGTGTTTAACAAAATAGGGCCATGGTTTTCTGAAATGAAAGTGAGAAACATGCAAAAAATCATCAGTTCTGAATTTTGTTGATGAGTGCTATACTATTTGTACTCTAAGATAACAATGTACATGATTATTAATTGAATTGAAGAGTTCTGTAATTCGTTCCCTGCACCTCTAACATCTAGTGCTCGTATATTGTTGCGTCTTTGAGTGTGTTTTTCATTATGCTGATGTTGCACTTATAGATGTGTACATTTTTGCTTTATGCTGACAAGTGTATTGACAGTTTAAGTAAACCCGACCTAATTCCAGAACGCCGCAATTTGATCAGAGTGGCCACTTACGTACTTATGTATGTATATAGTATACATATGTATGTATAAACATACTTAGGTGGCTATGTTAAAAAGTCATGTTATATTGATTGAAAATGTTACGTTATCTATGACTTTTATGCAAGCAGCATAGGGAGTCTTCTTGGGGTCATTATAATGTATGAGCTAATAAAGCTGGAGAAATTGTAGCATCCAATGTTTCAAACTGTATTTCAAATAATCTTACGGTTTAGTTTTGGCGGATAACATTTATTGCTCGAGTGTTGCCCTAGTTCCGAAATGACATGAAAATACCAAACATCGCAAGTGGTTTTACAGCACTATTTACCAGTACTGAAAAATCATGTCGCTTTCCCTCCATTGCTTGTGAAATCGCTAATGCTGAGTGGAAATATAATTCGTTTGTAAAGCGCTGTCAATTATATCCAGACAAAAGAAACATGGCGTTCCAAATGCCACCGACGACCACAAGCGTGGCAAGCTTTTCATTTGGTTTGAGTCCCGCGCCAACAACAGCGGCAAGTGCTGCTGCAACGGCCACTAAGCCTTCGTTTGCATTTGGCGCCCCGGTAGTTGCCCCTAACCTCGTTCTTGCAGGCGGTGGCGATGCGGACAGCACTAAGTCAGTGCCGCCCTCTCAATTTGGATTTGCAGCGACACCCGCACCCACGGCAGCTGTCGTAGCTCCAACTCCAAAAACGTCAGCTGTTGGAACTGCCCCTGCTTTCAGCGGCTTTGGTTCTTTGACACAGCCTACAGCAGTGGCTCCTGCGACTTCAGCGGCTGTTGTGTCTACTGCTCCAGGAACGCTGACTCTCGGTGCACCCACACCCACTTTGGGAATGTCGGCACCCCCTAAGAGCGTAGCAGCAGCACCAGCTGCTCAACAAGCAACTGCCGTTGCCGTGGCACCTCTTCCAACAACCTCAGCAGCTCCAGCTGGTAGCACCGGCAGTGCATTTGCCAATTTGACAACGGCCACTAAAACTACAGACTCTGCAGCAGTGGTAAATGCTTCACAAATGTCGTACCACCAGCTTGAGGAGCACATCAACAAATGGACTCTAGAGTTTGAGGAGCTGGAGAAAGTCTTTACCGAGCAGGCCACACAGACCAATGCATGGGATAAGTTGCTAATAAGCAACAATCACAAAATAATCGAGTTAAACGATGCCGTACAGAAAGTGAAGAATGACCAACAGATGCTGGATCAGGAGCTAGAATTTATAGCAACGCAGCATAAAGAGCTTGAGGAGAGCCTGGCGCCGTTGGAGAAGGAGTTTGCCAATTTGCCACGCGTTGACATGGAACGCAGTCAGACATACATGATGGTCGAAGATTTAGACACGCAACTTAAACAGATGTCCGAAGACTTGAAAGAGATTATTGATAATCTAAACGAGGCCAACAAAGAACAGGATATTACAGACCCCATCGTACAGATTGGAAAAATTCTCAGCGCCCACATGAGCTCCTTGCAATGGATCGAGTCGCAATCAAGCAACATCTGTAAGAAGCTGGATGAAATTGGCAAAATCCACGAAACGCAGAAGCGTGATACCTTCAGACCAGCGTTCTAAGTTAATGTTGATATTATATGCTTCAAATTAAAATTGTTTGTATTTGTTTATTCAACTTGTAACCGCATTAGTAGTTTTTAAAATAATGTAGCCTAAAAAGTGGCACCTTTCCATCACTATTTCCAAGTGCCAGAAAGCCGCTTGATGGAGAAAATGCCGTTGTGGTCACATGGCCCAAACTTTCATTAGGGAGCGGAAAATTGGAGTACACAGTTGCGCTCGGGAAATGTGCCACCTTAAGAGCATTTGGTGCGTGTTTCGACGACATAGCCAACAATTCTGATGTGTGATTAAATTGAACATGAGAAATGGACGTGCGCAAATTCATGAATCTCTTCTCTGGCATCGGAGTATTCGATTGATAGACACTCTCATAGTCGTAAACATTAACGACGCCCTCAGTACTACCAGTTGCTAAGAGTCGCTGATTTGGGGCTAATTGCAGAGCCTGCCCGGTGACGCAGCCGTCATCCAAAAAGGTATGAACCACTTTGTTCTGGCGCAAGGAGAGGATGTTAATGCTGTTGCTATGTCCACAGGTCAGTAAATGTTGTGAGTCAGCCGTAAAGCACATGCCACGACAGTGACCCTCTTGCTTGAAGGAATGGAGCAGTTCGTTGCAACTGGTGGCGAACAGATGAATGGCGCCGAATTTTCCGGACACAGCAATATACTTGCCACATGGCGACACTTCGAATATGTCGAACTTGTGTATCCCCCGGGGCAGCTTAAGTTTAGTCTCCTTGGCTTCGAGCAGATCGTAGGAGTAGTAAAACGGCATAGATGATCCGAAATACGCCTTGGTTCCACAGGGAGCAATACGCATGCAGTTGATAGGGAATTTACGGAAACGAATACTGTGCAGTTTTTCGTTCTTGGTGCCATCGAGGGCGTATATGGATGCTATGCCATTTTTGCCCGACACAAGCGCCGCCGTGCTGGTGGGATGGAACTGAAGACTTGTAATTACACCTTCATTGTAGGACATACGATTTACATCCTTCAGACGCTTTGACTTTAAAAGCTTTTCACGCAGCTGTCGTCTCTTAGCTTTGTGGTCTATAAATCCGACAGTTTTCAGGAGCGGTTCGTCTTCCGACTCGTCACTGTCACCCTGTTTTGGTTTCATTTCAAGTGATGCCCATTTCGGTTGGACGCTGGTACGTGCAAAGCGTGCCTCCAGAAATTGTTTATAGGATTTGTCTTTTCTAAGATGTTGGATCGGACCAGTGTAGCGTGTTTGACGCTTTACGTCACCCACTTGCAAATCATCGTCGTCAGAATCTGTCCACGCAGCCTTCCGTTTTCTAGAAGGGTCCTCTGAGTCCGCCTGTTCGTCATCAGTTTTATTTTCATTGTCGCTCGTTGCATACTTTTTTCCAACTGCTTTCGCCAGATTTGATATATAAGATTGCTTATCACCGAAAATAACCTTCTCCATAGGGACCTCAACGTAGGTAGGCTCATTTTCTACAGCATCGTTTCGCTTTAATGTTGTGTCTTCCGTTTCTGCCCTTGCATAAACACCCAAAAGCTCTTGTAGCTCCCCTATGTCGTCACCAGATTCGTCGTCGTTCATGTTGGCAGTAGGAGAGAGGCTGGAAAAAGTAACAATGAAGTCACGAAGGAAATAAACTACTCTGTTCACTTACAAGGAACGATAATCTGTATTCAAATCAATGAGTGATATTAATTTGAAATAAAGAATAAAATAAAACTACAACAAAACACTTCGCACGTGTTAGAATTTTTTGCAGGTGCCAGCTGGAATGCGCGATAACCAACTTTTTCGATACATTCCAAACAGTGTGTACATACTTTGTACGAAAAATAAATATAAATAAAACAACAGAAAACGAGCATTCAAATTGGGAATTTAAATTTAATCTCGTAAAAACTATAAACAAGCGGTGCTATATTATAAAAGGGTTTCCTATTTAGAGTCGAATTAGATCGACAGACATTTTCTTGCCACCCGGCTTTATCGTTCCATCACATGTAGTGAGATGCCGGCATAGGAAAGCTTCCATCTTATACCAACGGCCACAACGTTCGCATATGAGTTTCTCGTGTTTTTCATTTTGATGCTGGTTTTGTCGTTCGCGTTCCTTTTGGCAACAATCGTCGCAAGCATACCGGACTTTTACTTCGTTGGAGTTAAACTTGACAACAAAGGGTTGTTTACAAAACATGCAATAGAATTCTTTAACCACGATGTATGCGTCTTCACACTCGGCAATCGACAATCCAGTGATTCCAGCTAACTCTTGGAGCTTCCTTTTGTGTTCATGCTGCTGCACATGTTCCATATATTTTTCTTTGTCGTAATATTTTCGAGTGCACTGCTCGCATTTCATGGGAGTAATGTTACTATGGGCCAGCCTGTGGCGACGTAAAGCGGCATTGGAACTAAACGTTTTCTTACAAGTTTCACATTGTGGCATTGATAAAATCTGATCAAATGTTCGCTCACACGAATTTAAATGGATTTTGAATGGCCCGGCAATCCGAAACAAGTTTCCACAAAAAGGACAACTATATGAGGTTTTTTTTGATTGTTGACGCGCAAGTAGTTTTGTATTGTCAAAATGTTTAATGCCTTTCCTGTCTAGTCTTAACGGAGCAATACAGACTGTAGTTAATATACCGTTTTTTTCCTCAACAGATATTACGGTATTTTCTTCATCGCATACTTCAAACCAGTTGTTTCCATCATTGCTGCTCTTAGGCCAGGCATTCTCCTTCAGTATTCCATATTTCACATTAAGCGATGCAACTTTATTTTTTTCATGATTGGACACATCTTGCATTCTTGCTTGTTCACAGTGTTGAAAGAGGTAGAGTTGTCCCTGTGCTTGCAGAAAATTCTGTTCTGCCACATGTTTTAAGAAAATGGCTGTTGCATAGAGGTGGAGAAACATCGATGTTCGCGGGCATCGATATTTTTAAAACAAAACATCGATGCAACATCGATAGTTTAAAAAAATTGAATAAGACAAAGCAACGTACCAACGTCTGATTAAAATTATAAAAAAATGTACAGTTTTATTCCATTTCTGAGATCAAAGGCTACAAATTAAAAATCAAAAGTTCATTTGTCTGAAAACAAGTCCTGGTTTTTGTTCAAGAACATAATCTTACCTACAACGTTCAGCTTTAGGTGAGTACGACGATCAGATATTATTTACCCAGCATGAAGTTACCGGGACGCATAAATAGTTCGGTGCTGTACTTTTAAGTTATAATTAATTTATTTCAAATATCGAAATTACCTTCCAATATAAGAGAGAATCACATTGTTGTCTCAAGATGATAATGGTGTCTGCACTTGTATTTTATTTTGCAAACATTTTGAGGTTTGTAAAGGTTCCAATGGTGTTGGCTGCTACCGTGGAGTCTTAGGCAATACATTATAGATCTCTTGCTCCAAAGCCTTGAATGACTGATCTGCATTCGAAAGCGAAAAAAATGCCTCCTTTTTAAATTGTGGATCAATCAGAGTTGCTATCCGGAGAACAGTTCTGGTTTCTTCTTGAAACGGCGAAAGAAGTTAGGTCAGTTACTTTAAAACCACAACTTCCCTTGCGGAAAGTGGCAGTGGAACCTTAGCCATGCTCAAAAGGGCAGAAGATAATACGTCGTTGGTCTTTAAAAGGCGTTTTATCATTTCGAAGGCATTGTTCCAATCAGTTGGCACTTCCTGTGTATACTCCACACAATCTAGGCAGATTAAAGCTTACATTTTAATTCGTCATATGCCCTTATTATTGCTACGTCACGAAAAAAGTCTTGCTTAGCAATTTATAGCGCGGATCCATTTCGTGCATTAACACACAAAATCCCCTGTCATTAACAACGCTAAGGGGTTGCACGTCTACTGCGATCATACGCATTACTCGCTGGTCAATTTCTTGCTTCTTTTTTGAATCCGATGGATATTCAACATCAGGCATCAAAAAAGGGTCCAATTTGGTTGGTGCAGGATGATTTTCTGCAATGATACTATTCGGAAGTATTCGCTTCAAATGATCCATTAGATACGTAGTGTTGCCTGCTGTTTTTATACATTTCCCGCAGTAGTTGCTTATTCCACTTGTCGGTTTTTTTTTAAATGTTCCCAAACATTGGAGCATTCACGTTTCCGTTTTGATGATCCAGCCTCACAGTTTTCCTTTGATGTTCCGACCTACCTTCCTTTTAGATAGAAACTATAAAATTTTAAATACAGTCACAGGGTACGCTAAAAATGAACGTATGTATATACATGCATACATACCTATGTAAGTGAAAGCACATGTGCTTTATGTTTTGTTGTGAACAAACTTACTTTTGATGTGTTTGTCCATCGTTAAAGATCTAATTCTCCGCGGTCGCTGCGAACGCCACCAACCTTTCCTATTCATTAAACAAGAAAGGAATGCCAAAGTCGAGCAGGCTTAAATACCCTGTACCACCCCACAAAAAAGAAATTAAATTAATTAATTAATTTAATTAAATTAATTAACTAAATTAATTTAATTAATACACTAAATTAAATATAAAATATTCCATGCATGCATACATACATTACATCAGAATCGTGCCTTATGCGTGTTTGTGTACTTGTACATATGTATGTATGTGTGCATTGGTCCTGGTTATATGGCTATAACTTTCTTTCCGATCATTCTATCATAATGAAACTTGGTATACGGTTATATAATCACTAACCTAATGTGACTACCAAATTTCAAAATTCCAAGAATTACGGGAGTTATAGAAAATCGTTAATAGGGGGGGGGAGTGGGGGGGTGGATCAGAAAAAATGAACAAACTCGTCCTTTCTCGGTCTTAGGAGAATCTGTGTACCAAGTTTGGTTATTCTAGCTCTTATACTTTCGGAGATCCTTGCGTTCATACAGACGGACAGACAGACGGACAAGGCTATATCGACTCGGCTTGTCATGCTGATCAAGAATATCTATACTTTGTGGGGTCTACCAAGCCTCCTTCTGTGTGTTCCATGTGCACTCGCACAAAACTAATATACCCTTGTACCCTTTGGGTACAGGGTATAAAAAAGGGTTTTAACTTACAAAATAAAATACCGCCGTCAATCACATACCTTTCGTGTTTCTTCCTTTTTTTACTCGCCGATCTTCACTCTCATAGAGACGTAAAAGGGAAACATCGATAGTCGCAACAAACAAACGATGTTTTAAAAAATATTGAAAACATCGATGCCTTGGTTGTTGCAACATTTCAAGAGTTGCCATTTAATTACGCGGTACATATTTATGTATGAATTAGTAGATGACAGGACCAAATCAAGCTCATTTGATCTAAGTGAAAAAACTCTTGATCATTTTTATTTTAGCTCTGTCCAGAGTGTGTTGGGCTGAAGAGCACATACATACACATTTGTTTCTGTACACACATATATCTACAAGTATGTAATGCGTAACGCTTTAAAAACCCTACATCCCAACATGCTTGTTGGTTACACATTAGCAATTTTTTTTTAAATACAGGGACTTTTAACACGCACTATTTGCCTTAATGATAGATTTTTGAAACAGGACTTGCTTAACAGTGTAGTCTTCAACATCGTCGCTTTCATCGGATGCTTCTAATCTAAGTCAACTAACCGATAAATATTTTGAATTAATGGTCCTCAAAGTCCGTTTTATTGCGGCCATGTAAACATGTAAATATTTGATCCCACAATGAACAAGACAATGAAATGTGCAATGATATGAAAATCATAAATAATGAAAAGCCTAAATGTGTAACATGTAACCAAAAAGTAGATGAATTAATTCACAATGTATTCATATATATTTTAGAAAAGTATTTGAGAAAATATACCTAATACGAAGATAAACAAGTATATAAATAAATAAAATATATGCAAATAAACTTCGACTTGATTAAAATGTTTGAAAAAACGAAATATCCCTGGCCTATCTTTGAGAAATAACAAAAAAGGCTAAGTATGTGGTTTTCCTATTATATTTGTAGTTTATGATTCTAAAAACTCCAAAAATGTGCCATTAATGCCAAATGTAAGGATGATTGATCAGTTCACAGCTACCTGATAACTTCAAAGCTTCAGGCGACATTTCAAATTGTTGAGCCATAAATGCTTTGCCTCCATAGAAACAAACATATCTGCCCAAACTATTCCTACAATTTAGATAATTGTCAACGAACTCGAACTCTGTTAAGCTTCAGCTCTTTGTTTTATGACACGCGTAATTCGACTCAAAATATGCAATTAAACAAAAAACTTCTTGACTGTAAAAATATTTGCATAGCTTGAGTACACAAATGTCAGAGCGTCAACAGCACGTCAGGCACGAAGACAACGCAAAGTTGTTGTTGAACTTGTCATTATATTATACGAGTCAACCCGTGCAAGGGATGCTGAAGTGCGGATTAATAGCCTGTGTGTGTGCTGCTGATGCATGGGGAGGGTGGTGCTTGTAGTGGGGGCGTAGTTGCTGCGACAGAAATCAGCGTTTGTAAAATTTACGTAAAATTCATTAAGCGAAACAAAGGATGCCACCGAAAAACAGGTTGCACTCAACGGGGATGGTACACCAAGGGAAAAGGCACACTGAAAAAAAAAAAAACGATCAAAATTATTGATATCGAAATACATCTCGAGCATTATCTTCGTCCATGCTGTATATATACATATGTATACCCTTTATTTGCCATGAACTATTTAAAATAATGGTTCCGTATATCTTACTTTTCATTAGAATGCATTTGGTCCATGGACACAATGGACATGGACACGAGTGATGCAA